TAATTTTATTTATTTATTTTTCCCCCCAAAGCCCCAGTAGATAGTTGTATGTCATAGCTGCACATCCTTCTAGCTGCTGTATGTGGGACGCGGGCTCGGCGTGGCCAGAGAAGCAGTGTGTCGGTGCGCACCCAGGATCCGAACCCAGGCCGCCAGTGGCGGAGCGCACGCACTTAACCGCTAAGCCACGGGGCCGGCCCTATATCTCTGTTCTTAATGCAGCTATTCTGGAAGAAAAATTTTGGTTGCTCAACTTACAAAACTGGGAGTAGTGACTAGGTCTCTTTCCATGACATACCAGGTTCATTTTCAGTTATAACTTCTATGTCACATACTTGCATGTCAAATCACAATCACATTGGCAACATACCACACTGTAAAAGTAAAGTTAAGTTTCTTATCCTCAGCACTATTTGACATTTTGGGTTGGATAATCCTTTGCTGTGGGAAGCTGCTCTCTGCATTGTAGGATGTTTAGCAGCATCCCTGCCCTCTACCCACTAGATGCCAGTAGCACCTCCTTCCCCAGTCATGACAATCAAAATGTCTCCAGACATTGCCATACTTCCCCCAGTGGGCAGAACTGCCCCTGGCTGAAAACTACTGCAGTAGAGCAATCTTAACGGCAGAATAATCGCAAGTCACTTTGTGAATTAAACTATACATAGATATTGTTTAATCTGTCATTGTCTGAACCTGGCCCCCTCTACTTCTGTTACTTTTCCTCTGAAAGTACTGCTTTCTAATTGGCCATAACATGGGACTGAGATATTTTTAAAGTATACTGTACTCAATTAGTAAAGATTTATACTCTGTACAGATTTTAAATCAGGAAAATTTATAACTACTTCAAACCCCTCATTAAGCTTTTTGTTTGTTTACTTAGAGTATTCCCCATGCCTCATAAGCTTAAAGAAAAAAAGAAAAATTATTCAAAAGACCAGCCAAATGGAAGAGGCTTTTATTTGTAAAGAAATGAACTTACAACTGACCTACAATATATTATTGTAATATAAACAATATAAATAAGTGATCCTGTAGGCCCACTAACCTTCCTCCAGACCTACATGAAGCAATGTTACAACAATATTCTATGTGAAAATGTGCAGGGTAACAAAGGTGCAATTACAAGCAAGTTTAAGCAGCAGAGTATAAGGTGCTTTAATTTAACAGTTAATGTCGCCATCAACAAACATCTGAATGCTCAATTTTACTTCACTGAATACAGACACAACAAATATGAAAATCTAAAATTCATACACATGCTACTTGTTAATATGAAAGTGCTTTCTCTTTTTTAAAAAAATACACCAAATGGACAATCTTTTTACATAGATCATGGTGTGCTCTTATAATGCAAAATTAACTTCATTTTCAGGTTATACATTTTAAAACTGTAGCTACAGACACCAATCTAGGAACACTAATGCTAAGAGTGCTAAAACTATTTCATTTCCTGTAAGGAGGACTCTAATACAATATCCAATGTAAAGAATACATCTACATATAATGTTAACATTTGTATTCTGTAAAGATAAAAAATGTTTTCTTTCCCCTTGGTGATGCTCTTCATCCTGGGAGGATCAGCTTTTGAGGTTTTAATAATATGAAAGTCCTGTTTTAGGACAATAGGAGGAACCAAAAGGGGGAATTAAAAAAAAAAAAGTTAACACATGCTTGAAGCATCAAAAATAAAAATTAAAAAAAAAGTTTTTCAAAACAATTTGCCTTTGTTAAAACAACAAAAAATTTTTTTTAACAAGAAGACAAAAAGCACTAATTCAACAAAGAGGCTTGAAATAAATGCCTGCCACCAGTGTCAGTTTCCATCCTGCACACTGCTGTCTACAACTCCAGCCTTCATGAGCTCATGCCTTACTCTGAGGATAGTTTTTGGAACTTACTTTAACTTTTTTTCCTATGGAAAAAGTAAGTTAAACTTACTTTAACTTTTCCTCAATCAAAATCAAGACCAAGCTTTTGATTGAGGTAATTGGGAATCTGGCTAAACATCTCAGAAATTAGACATCCGAAATTATATCTTTGCACACTCCGCTGACTTTTTAAAATTTAAGAATACATATACAAAAAGTATTTATGCAATAGATATTTTAACAGCATAAAATATTTGAAAAATTAGTTGAATTAAAACATTTTAAAAGTACATTTTAACCAGTACAATGGGAAAATTTTTTAAATCCAGATTGGTTATTTGGATGTCAGTGTTCCTAATTTCAATCAGTTTGTTATACATTCTAATCTAACATGTATTTGGACATGTTCCTGCTTTAAAAAGCTGTGACTATGATGCATAAAAGATCTTTATAATATTAGATATTTTCATTTTGTATCTTTATGGAGAGCATTAGTATCAAGTGATATTACTATGTAAAGCTGTGTCAATAGGAATTAACAACATAATTCACAGAATCCCCCAGTAGTAAGGAACCTTTACTCAATAATCCATCCCATTCAATGTTTACTCCTCAAATAACTTGTCAATTCAAGCATGGAACTGTTTTATGTTTACCAGTTCTGCTTTTTAAAGGAAACCCTTTTACTATGTAATATATGTGTGCTTTCTAAAAAGTAGATATTTGTAATAAGGATAAATTTTATTTTGTGTGATCTTTCTTGCTTTAAAACAAAATAACAAACCTGTTCAGCAATCTCCTTTGAGATTTTTCAGTTTCAGAAAATTACTTCACTGCCAATACTGGGTGTAAAGCTGTTGTACTTAAAAATATATAGTAAATCAGCACCAGCTTCTTTTTACTGTTCTGTCACACACCCTGCATAGCAACACCTCTGGATTAGATTCATATATCAAAATAATTCTTAGAAATAGGGGCTGTCACAACAGTTTCAAAATGTAAATCCTTAATGTTAGGTACCCTTAATTGTGTAATCTATATGGTTGATTTGATGTTTAATATGTGAAATGTGTTGTAGGAACTGTGAGGAAATTCACTTAGACCTCTTACATGTCATCTAGCCTCATCCTTTACCCAAAGCATAAAAACTTCCCTCTCAGTTCCAATTTTACGTTCAGTACATTAAGTAATAATAATTATGTCCAGGTTTGTTTAAGCCACAAAATTTTGTTTGGCAAGATTCTGTTTACTTATTACTAGTTCCTTAAGTCATGTGCACCACACTACACATAGTAAATGTTCAAATGGTTTGCTAAATGCATGGATAAATGTCATGAATGACTATGGTCACATGTGTTTATACGTTCAGTGGTTAACTAGCAAGAAACATTTAGAAAAATGGCCTCATTTGCTTGTCTGTATAAATTTTCTACCTTAATCTTTAGGAGAACAAAGACTGTAGGTGACCCAGGAAATGGATACCTTAATAAATAATTATCTTTCAGCAAAAGCTCTTAAGTATGAAATGAACACCATTAAAAAGAGAAAGAATTAAGTAGGCGCAACTTTAAAAATACCCCATTATGTGGCCTAGAGTCGTAGTTTTAGAGCTGGGAGGTACCTTAAAGATGATTTAAACCAAAATCCCCATTTCGAGTAGTATAGGCTCCGTACTGCAGACTCAGAAGAGGAAACAGGTGAAGAGCTAAGTAACCACCTAAGGTGTCACACAGCTAATTCACCAACTGCAGTAAAACCCCAGTCTCCCAGCCAGTGTTATATCTTCATTAGTCTGTTAATTTAATGATTATGTTCATCTATTATTAACTACTTGAGTATATTATTTAGTATTACCTAAAACAAGAATTACAACTTTTAACACGGCATTCTAAACAAAGATTTTAAGCAGTGGACACTTCTGGTTTGCTTGAGGCAAGACTAAAAAAGTTTCTTCTTTCTAAAACAGGTTGATGTTTATTTCAGTACCAGCCCCACCACTCTTTTATAAATACCAACTTCTTCACCTCCATCAATTAAAGCTCCATAAAATATGAATTTAACACTGATAATATTCCCTAAAGTATAACTTTTAAGCCAATAAATGATGGCTACTATCAATCCTTAAGATTACTGGAGTCAATTTAAATAGCTGGTCTAAAAGGACTTACTACATTACTCTTATATTTAAAACTATGTATGCCATGTTAGCATAACTGTTTTAAATTTATACTGATTTTTTTTCCAAATTAAAATTCATTCATTACTTCTTTTAAACAATACATTTTAAAACCTTTGCACAGGTTTTCTTTCTATGGATTCATACTGACGCCACCAGTTATCAGTGAGAGCAACTGTACTTTTCAAAGGCAGTAGAAAAAAATATTTTTCTAATGTACCTCTTCTCCAACATCTGCGATTAAAATTGTCTTTAAATAAAATTAAATGTTTACAAGTTATAAAAAGGGAAAAATGCAACATTCATGGAAAACATTTCCCAAAAGGTTCCATAAACATGGCACTTAAGAGGGGTGTGTTGCTGTGTGAGAGCAGACAGGGAGAGCTTCCATTAGAGAAGCTGGGCTCCAGACCGGAAAAGGAGGGTGGTCACTCCCATTTAACGTACGTGTACTAAAGTGAAAGTTCAGAAGAAGCCAAGCATTTTGCTCTGGAATATGATGGCAATAATTATATTTGTAGTAGTGCTTTACAACTTCCAAATAAAAGCTTTCTATAGTATTATTTTAAAATAGATTAAATAAGCTCTAAAAAATAATATGTAAAACTTTAAAATTCTTAAAAATTCACGAAACTTTTCAAAGAAGATAATACAATTTTAAACATTTTTTATTGAAGAAATGGCTTGTATTGCTGCTGTGAAGGAAACTATATAGTGATGCATTTTATGAACTTCTAACAAAAGAGGAATATCTTCCCAAAGAATTTTTTAAGATGTACGGCTTATAATAGGTTGAAATTAAACTCTAGTAAGATTGCATATTTACTTTTCCTAATACTATATTTGTGCTTATCTAAATTGAATCACAATTTTTAAGATGAAATCAAATGCTTCTAAATAGATTCATAAAATACCAATATGGGTGAATGTGGACTAAACAGTTCATTTCATGATCCACACTACTGTGCATCAAAGAAAGAGAGGTAGGTGTGTTCACTGAAATCCACATTAATAAAGAGAAGCCTATAGCTCTTAGTCATCCAATGCTTAGACTGAGACACAACCTAACAAATAAAATACTACCTTAAAAATGCCTTTCTTTATAACAGTCTACAAGGTTGATTCAACTATGTGGTATCTGAAAATGGATCCTCTCTCCTCTTAAATTCTGATAACTCAATCATAACAATTAACCTTTGAGTTTTTGACAAATGTTCTCCAACTATAACATAATAGTTGTCACCTTTTCAGAAGTCAAAAATCACTAACTTATGTATCACTGGAACTATTAATATGCTCCTAAAGGCAGGATCACTTGATAGAAAGAGTGAAAGGAGTGTGATTACAGGTAGATCTTGACATAATAAAATTTATGGGATCCAATAAGATAATGGGATCCAACCATTACAATTATTATTTTGAACTACTGAAGGTCATATCTACACTACATGACCTCATTCAGTTAACTGTACTATCTATCCTCTTGGGTCTACAATGCTTTTCCTCCTAATTTGTCTCCTCTTCTACTTCCCTATCCTTCCCCCTAGAAACCCTTCCTCAAGGCCCAGCTAGTTACACATATGGTGCACAGGAAGCAGACTGAGCAAACACTGTGCATAGACGGGCCAGTTTCCACTGCCCAAAAGTTGCACTGAAACGTGATTATTAGGTATTAGAAAGTCCTGCCCCAGTTACCTCCCTAAAATTAACCCCACTACGAAATCCTCTCTAAGGATCTTCAGGCAAAGGTCTAAGAAGAAAGTTTTCATGCAGTTTCCTTGGGGCTTGAGGAGGCTTTAGGGGAGGTGAGGGGTGAGTGAGGCCCTTCCGTGCTGTCAGCTGAAGCTCGATGCCAGTTGCACGCTGGCAGCATGTCTTCCTGCCATTCACTAAGGGTGAGGATCTTCAAACCACAAAATAGAACCAGGCTCTTCTAGTTGAAAATATGTCTTTAAATGTTTTAAGAGTATATCCAGCCATTCGATGGCTGTGAGGATGGATATGGCTCTGAGGATAGCATCATTCACCTACAACTATAATAGTTTATTCTTTCCAAAATTGTTTACACACATGTAAACACAACCCAAGACTATACAATCCGTATATTGCCTCCCTACCATACTTGTGTCATGGTGGTACCAAAACCTTGCAAATGCAAATAATGGGAACAAGTCAGTAATATGGGGCACTATGACAGATTTCAATCTAAGACTGGTATTGGAATAAATGTCTGACTATAATTTCACACTGCATATATGAAGATTAACCATGTCAAAAATATTCAAAGGCATGGACACGATACTTATTTCATATAGTTCTAAGTGTTTCAACACACCAGGAAATAAACAGTGAGCTACCTAAAAAAAAATAATTTCTATTTAAAACTAGGTAAAACATGAATATTAACGTGCAAAGTGCAGAAATTTGTTCAGTGTTGAAGTGGAATTAACTAAAAAAGTGGCAGGCTTCTCGTCTGTCTCTCCCCTTCTCAAGCTTCTTCACTAGCACGTCTTTCCTCCCATTCCTCCTTCTTTACTCTTAGATGACAGCCCTTAAACTGGGACTAAAAAAAAATGTCTGTTTAGAGGATGCCACAGCAAATTAAAAGTACCATCATGGAAAGAGTTACATGCCACTTAAAAAGTGACGGGTTTTGGGACAGCACTCTGTCTCATACTATCCTGACTCTATCAAAGATGCATAGCTGTGTCAGACACAGGCCTGCACAAGGCTTGATGAAAATCCACGTCATGTATCAAGTTTTTACAAACCAGCTCTCTCAGCTTGTTTACTTTCTTTAGAACACATGGCTTAAAGCAAATAAAATTTCAAACTGGTAGAGTTTTTTTTTCCCTCAATGGGAAAAGAGTGCATCAGTTTAAAGAAGCAGGAATAACTTCCCATGTCAGCTTTCTGCTTGTCATTTCCTCTCCTTACTCAAAATCCTAAAACAATTAGTAATATGAAGGAAGATGAAAATACTAGCACTCTCCCCACCTATATCATACTAAAACTATGCTTAAAGCTCAGGAGAGAGGTGGACACCCAGTGCTATTGTCTACTTCCATTATATATAACAGGCTTTGAAACTAAGATGGTTACATCATCTAGAAAGAAACATCATCAATGAAGAAAACTACCAACTGAAAGCAAATGAGCCATTTCTAAATAAAACAACTCACTTGAAAAAAGCAAGTATATTTTCTGGGTATGTTTTGAGTGCGGACAACAGAAGATCTGGACTATTCTTAACATTATTATAAGGTTTAAGATATAAGGTGCTCTGAAATGGAAACCTCTCTTGTAAGCTTTCTTGGATACTTGACACAGTGCTAGGCACAAGGGGCTTTCGCTAAGTACATAATGACTGATACGAGAAGAGGGAGTAAATAAAAGGAGAACCTGTAACAGTTCAAAGTGAACACCTTAAAAGCTACAGATAATATAGTTATAGGAGGTAATCATTATTGCTAGGGGAGTCTATCCCCTGAAAATCAATTTTGTATTAATTCTTTGTGGATTATCTATGATCAAGTTTTAATTCCAGGGGAGATTTTCCTTTGTGCCCCCATCCCCCATACAGTGCTCCTACAATGCTTAGCCTATACTTGTGTTCTTAAATTGCAAGATGAGGGGAAAAGTCAAGCATGTGACAACTCTGTCACAATGATTAACTGCTAATATATGAAAATTGACTACAGAGTACCTACCTTTCCTTGAAACTTGAATCCAGTAATTAAAAAGGTGATATAAAGAAATATGTAACATAGACTACAAGCTATTGTAGGTCTGGAACATGAGCCTTACACTATATTACACATTCTAATCCTACACATAACTATCAGTAAACATCTTTTTTTAAAACATTACTACACAAAAGAATCCCACAAAGCATACATTCAAACAAGAGGCATCTAAAGATTAAAAAAATTACCCGCTGTATTTTTGTATAAAAATAATCAACATTCTCTAATGTACACAAAGCCAAAAGATAAATATCTGTGATGTCTTTAATGACATCTTTAGTCTTCTACTAGCTCAACACAATCCTTTTGAAAAGAGCAGTGACAATGACTGAAACCCCTGGACTCTTCCCCACTTATTGACTTTCCGCCAAATATCTATGTATGTTCCTTCAATTATTAAAACATTTCCACTGTGTGGTAAAGATAAGATTAAAAAAAAGCTTAAAACAAACTTTTCAAGTCCAGGACCATAAAGCTCTCACAGCTCCCACAATAATTTTGTTTTAGTGTCATAATTCTAAAAGAACACTAACTGTTCAGTGAAAGGTTTTGTTTCAAAATTTTTTCCCCTAAAACGTGTACATACAAAATTAGATCTGATTATCCAAGAGATTCACTTGGTAAGTGCTTTGCAGGAAGCATGCAAGGGTTTAGTCAAGGAAAAAGGAATGTGCATTCTAGCTAGACCCAGCATGTTCAACTTTAGAAAAAATCCAATGACCGACCACATATCCGCTACAAGCTATTGCCTTGCCAGCAAAGGCTGTGCACTAACTGATTCATAAGGTGTAATCATATTGTGCCTTCATCAATGCAGAGGCGCAGAGAGATGTGAAAGATAATTAATGTGAATCAGTACTCTCTAAGAGTCAAATTATTTGTAGATTAGTCCTCATTTTTTAGGCCAATTTAATGGATTTTTTCCCCTTTTTCTAGTATGCATAAAACTGGGAAAAATACTTCAGCAGAACATTAATGCTATCTGAAATACTTCCATTGTATAATATATTCCTTATGATGTCCTATCTTTTGAAAATATCCCTTGGGGTGAAAAAGAGCAGCATTTATCACTCCTACATCAGAGTTTCTCAACCTTGGCACTACCAACATTTTGGAGCGGAAAGCTCTTTGTTGTGGAGGGCTGTCCTGTGCATTGTAGGATATTTGGCAACATCCCTGTCCTCCAGGCACTAGGTACCAATAGCAACTCTCCCTCACTACCCCCAAGCTATGACAACAAAATGTCCCCCAACATTGCCAAATGTTCCCCAGGGAGTAAAACTGACCTCCGTTGAGAACCACTGCTCTAAACGTACAAACGCTTACAGGAAAACTAACTTTCTCAGTCACACCAAATTCTTGGTCAAGCTTCGAATAGAAACCAACTCTTCTGACTTCCAGATCAGTATTACTCATGCTAGAATGCAATCTTTTTTATAGACAAAGCAATTGTCTAATAGACATGTTTTTTAAAATGCACAATGATATCTCATTGCATACAATTCCAGTCACTGGACTACTAAATTATATCTCTCATGACAACCTATAGAAAACTTATAGGGTAGAAAAATGTATAAGAAAACTGAATCAAAAGAGGAGAAATGTAAATTATTAAATTACTTTTAAAAGGATTCTTTATATTAATGATAAACATCACCTTTAAAAAATTATCTAGTATAACACGTTTCTTTGAAAAATATCATGGCCCTCTACAGCAAGTCTTTCAATGTTGTAACCTGTGAAATTAATTTCACCAATGTTGGCTAATTATGAAAATGTATGTTGAATTACCATATCTGTAAAAGAAATGTCAGCTTTTGATGCAGAGATCCCAATGTGGTTGGCTATCCATCACAGTAAGTGATATTCTAGGCCAACTTGAGCCTTTACCTTACAAGTTTGTTTAAGAAGAGTAAAACTGCTGTTATTGCAAAGCCTCATGATACTGTTAGGATTCCTTCAGAGAGTTGATGCGTGCACAGATCTTTAGGGCCGGGCCTAGCTTGATATTCATTGCACTCATGAGGTGGTCTTCTTTTAGCAAGAGAAGGGCCTGTCCATCAATCTCCTGTGCTCTGAACTCATCTGCGATATCCTGGCAGCCTGGAATTTCATCAGAGCAAGGAAGTTAGAATTAATACACAACAATTAGACGTTACTCATAACAGTCACAGTTATGCTCTTACTGGGTCTGAGTATCTGAAATACAGGGTGAGAAACAAATGAAATTTATTTATTGTAGTCTTGGGTTCACTCCTGAAGAAGTGAGTATTTCTTGATATTCTGAAAATAAGAATTAATTCAAAATCCAGGTGAAGCAATTTACTTACAATTCTTGTTCTAAAAATATTACAGAAATAATTAGTAAGTCAGGTAAAATGTACAGATTGATCAGTCTAGATATAACATACTTTCACAAAAAGGAAGATGGTGTCACCTCAAAGCATGCCACACATATAACAAGTTTGGATTAACTAGTTATTATACCTCATGAACTCATCTTGGTATAATATGTCCTTCACACACAGGTACACAGGAATAAAATATATGTTCTGCCATTTAAGTAACAATTTAGAAATATCTTCTCAAGTACTAGAGTACCACTTTCATTATCATTTGTACCTTATTCTAATTTACAACCTTCAATTGCCAAGCATATCTAAAACATTTTTATTGTTCACTCACACATAACCAAACCATCAAGACTGTAGTATCAATCTACTGCAACGCTGATGAAATGTATTACACTCTCCATTTGTAATTTCAACTTCAAATCTTAGTAACACTGGATTTGTCTCCCCTTTGATAAGAAAACACTATTTCTCATTGAAATTACGAGCTTGCTGGCTAATCTCTTGCCAAATAATCAATATTTTAGCTCTTAGTCTAAACCAGGTGCTGTAGCAGGTAAGAACGCTAGCATCTACTTGAACCTCAAACGTTTTTTTATCATCTACCAAATTTTGCACAGCCGGGTTACTCACTAAACTTCCGCACCAAGGGTAAAGACATCACAGGGAAAGTAATGAACTAAGGAGCCAAGAGAGGAGAAAATGAAAAAATGTGGAAACCTCCTTATAAGAGACAGTAAAATTACAAAAATGAAATTAAGAATAAAAACTAACAGCTTAACGTCTTTCTATTTTATTCAAATCAGCATTCTAAGGGAAAAGACAAAGATACAGAAATGGTTACATTATACCTTTGGATACCACAACTTTGCTGGAATGATTATCTTTCTATTGCAAATGTATCATCCTCTTGTTTATAGAAGATAATGATGTCACCCCTATAACCCAAACACAAAGCACTGTAGGTGCTAAATACATGTACTTTTGGATAAATGGAGGACTGAATAAATGAATAAACAATGAACAAAAATAGAATCTGCTACAGAGGAGCTATCTGTAAGAGTAATACAAACATATTTTTCTGTATTCAGCTGTGCGGCCATCTTTTCTCCTGGTTTATTTCTTTTCCTATCTTCTCTGTTGGTTCTATCTTTCCTGTACCCTATATAGCAGCCAGCTTTTCAATTTCTTCCTTTTAATAATTTCTCAGACTTTTAAAATTGACATTTCAAAAGTACCCTATGCAAAATTTTGATGGTTTTGCCCATTTACCATATAAAAGAAACTATACAGTTAAAATGAGATTACTCACCATAGAAAAGCCCCTTTTCTTTTCCCAGAGGTAGCTCAAAACTGGGCAGACAAAACTGACTAATCTTGCATCTAGTTGTGACTTCATCCTTCTTTTTATGAAAGAACTAATGTTCTTCTCTCTTCAGTCTTACTTACAAGAACACAGGAAAGAAAAGAAGAGAGAGAAAGATAGGGTAGGACTTACTTAGATTCAGAAAACAGGAGCAATGAGAAGTAATGAAGACCATAAGAGCTACATTTGGGAATAGAAACAAGGAGTTCTCCATGAGGAAAATATACAGCATGTTCTTGTTCCTCTGTATTAGGAGATCTCTCTTCAAATGTCTTCTTGTAGGTGGACAGTAAATGTATTAGCAAAATAATAAAGAACAAAAAGCATTTTGGGAAACAGCATGATCAAATAGGAATGCATTAAATAGGAATGCATTATCTTCAGAATTTTGGATCACAACTTAAGCCAACCCCAAAAAAGGGCAGTTATACTATACATTAGTATAGAAATGAAAAAATAAAGTGACTTGAAAAAGAAAAAGGAAAAAGAAAAAAGCAGAAGCAAATACACTTCCAGAAACTCATTAGAGAAAAACAATTTAAAAAAAAAAAATTCTAGATGCTCAAGGTATACTGAGCTAATATTCTATGAGTTTCTGATACTGGAATCTAGTTCTACAAATGGCTGGCGCCCCAGGGACATATACAAAACATATCCCAACTGCAGCAACCAGTCAGCTCAGCTGGCTTCACATCACTAGAAGCAGCTGTCAGGACGGGCATGGACCTCTGCACAAGGTCACAGGTCCCAAATGAACCTCACAAGTGTCTAGTTACTTTTCCAGCCAAAACCCAAAACAAAACACGCCGCACAAAGAATGACTTCAGTAAGGCTGGTGAAAAGATGCTACTTGCCGCTCAATACTACAGAGTAAACAACTCCCAGTATTAGTATTATAAAAACCAGTAAATAGTCATATGTTTTTAGACGATTCCCACTTTATATGCCTACAAAGAAACCAAATCTACTGTAGATCCACAGATCAATAAACACAGAATAAACTGATCTTTGCAAAAGGCAGTTCACTGTAACAAGGAAGCATCAAAGAAGATAACTGCAGTTAATTGAAAATAAAAAGAATCGTTCCTGTAGAGAACTTTTTAATGCACAAAAATTTAGGAGAAAAGAATTTTTCACTCTGTTAACAGCTCTGAGATTTGGTTGTATTGCATACCAGCTCTAGTATGGTTCACAAGATGACATTATACAAAGAGAAGAGCAAGCTCTAGGAGTAAATATAAGTGCCCTGATAAAAGAGGGAAGCCTATCCTCAACTGGAAAGAAAGAAAATATAAGAGATTACAAAATTTACAAGCTTGTTCATTCCATGAGAAAAGCTTGGGAGTAGACTACTCAGAAAGAAAATACCAGCCCTGAATGAGCTGAAAAGAGGCTCAAAAGGAAGTTTACAAAGGCCAGAGAAGCATAGAGAAATGAAGACAAAGGCTTTTTCTGGTATGAGATTTACCTTTCTGGTATGAGAATTACCTTACAGGCATTATTCAGAGAAAAACTTTGAGAAAGAAGATATAACTGATCACAAAAATAAGCTTGTTATTTACCCTGTCAAAGCAGTTTGGGAATACTCCAAATAAACTGTTTGGGAATACTCCAATATTTAATCAGTCAAAGAAAAGCAGAGTTATATTAAGCAGACTCCTGAACAGTAGCAAGCAATTATAAATTATAAATCAGTCTCGTTTTAATATGTAATGTTCTTTAAACAACTGACAACAAAATTAAGTGTCTCGATGAACTCAATAAGACAAGCATCTCAAGTTAGAAGCAATAATAATTTTTTTTAACTCGAAGCAAAAATGAGACAAAGGAGTTAGCCTTTGTTCTGATAAAGCAGCCAAGAGTAGCCTCACGGCAAATGGATGCTGAGGAAAATTAGCCCTAAAAAAAAGCATATGAAGTAATAGAAGAATCAGCAATATCTGTTATTTGTTAATTATATGGTCAACTACTTTCCCTCAGGATATGAACCAATCCTCCTCCCTAAAAGAAAAGGAGTATTTTCCTCCAAATGAGAAATCATGCTAACAGCTCACGGCCCATCTGGAAGACTGAGACTACTTCTGAAGACAACAGAATCAAAGTCCATCCCCAGGGGATCAGTATAGATTGCAGCGTTAATTCTCAAGATACCTACGCTGGTCTAAACACTAAAATTTATTTTATTAAATATTAAAACCACAACCAGTGAAGACTCACCACCCCCTAATACATCACTTGCAAGGCAGATTCTAAACCCACGTGTTAGCACTTAACTCACATCTAAGTTTTCTTAGGTGCATACTCAAAAATCATCCCCTGAAAAATGTATCCCCTCTGTAAACAATTTCATCTTTCTTTAAAAGTGACCATATCTTGTTTTTTTTTTTAAAAAAAAACACTTATTTAGCATTTCTACAAGTTATTGAAAAAATAATTCAATAAAACTTCATCGAGTTCTGTATATAAGGTAAAATGGCTGCCAGATATTTTTAAAAAGCAGTAATACTTCTGAATATATTTTCTTCACTCACAGAGCACAGGAGCTATAAGTTTGCTTCTGAGACAGTGGTCACCTTCATAGAAAGAGTAATTAGCAAAAACAACTAGATTAATTTTAATAAGTCTGTAGATAAGTTCAAAGGCGATGTATGTTTCTGGAAAGCTTGGGTCAAGAGATGGTACGATTTACAAATAAACCAAAATGGTACAACATTAAAAAATCTCCTTGTTTTCCATATTCATAAGGTCAAAGTGAATGATAAGATTTGCTGATTTAAAAAAATATACTGTCTTAACATATATAACCAGTGTGGGTCTCATCATGAGCAAAGGTGTAGCTGTCTTTAGTAGCCAGCCCCTTGGAGAAAGGGGATACAAAAGATTATTGCTGCATTAAAGAAAAAAGATACAGACCATAAAGACTTAAGCTGGCAGAAAGAGTGCCAAAATGAGAGAGCAGAAAAATATAAATAAGGAAGTTACCCTAAAATTGGAATGGGGTATCATAACTGAATTTTAGTTGTCTACTTAAAAAATCAAATTTCAGAAGCATTTTTGATGTCTACTCATTGCAAAGAATCAAAGAATGCAGCTTCCCTTAAAAGAACCAGCTTTTTTAAAAAGCAACCAAAATTTTACCATATTCTAAAAGGTCTTGATTAGCTTCCAAAAATGTAAAAAAAAATTATGGTCTCTCTTATTTCATTTAAAAAAACTTAAGTTAGGAAATGAGGAGGAAATAGAATAGAAAAATAGAAGAGCAGAAGGGAAGAAGTGTCTGACTCAATCTCTCTACTGACCTCTCGAAAGAAATCAGACTGAAGAGAAGAGAGCACCTTTAATATCTTCACTGGCTGAGGTGTCACAGCAGAAGCAGGACTAGTCAGTTTTTATCGACTTGGGGCGTATGAGAAATACCCAGTTGTGCTGAGGGAATAAGCAAGAGGAAACAGATCACATTTCAATAGCAGATGCCACTTAATTAATACATCCACATAGTACTTCTCTAGCCCTTTTGTGCAACAGGTGTGGATGGCTCTAACATCATTCCTATGTGTGAATGCACAAGAAAAACATTAAGGCCAAAGTGGTGAATTACATACCAGGCAAAGAATGGATGAAGGCCCAGACGTCATCAACTGTCCATATAGATGGCTCTGTTTGTGCAACTGGCAGCAAGTCACTGTTCTCAGGCATTTTCCTAATTCTCACATCCCGAAGCTCACGTTCTCTTTCCCGTTCACTTTGCCTGCGCAGACGTGTTGTCATAGCAGATGGCACAGAATCTTCATGAGAAGCCAAGTCTTCTTCTGCAGATGGATAAGTAATTGGAAGCTGGAAAATGTAGTACAAGTAAAATACAGCATTGCACTTTCCTTGCATTTCTGAAAAGGGTATTGTACATTGAAGCAAGGTTTCTACAGACCTGCCTAAGGATATGTTCTCTTGCTGCCCCATCAGGGCCACTTGGACGACGGCCACGATGCCCAAGACTTTGATTATCAGGCTTACGATTCCAACGACTAAGTGCAAATTTTTTAGAACAGCTAACATTGTACCTAAGAAATTCAAGTAAGAAAAATCATTAAATGATACATGAGATACTCCATTTACTATTTAATTATGACTTCAAAGTGCAATTGTGAATCAGTAACTGCCATACACTTCATTAAGAACTATAATACCTCAGAAAGTAAAACTATAATATTCAATGGATTTACTTATGCTAACAGTCAAAAAATGGCCTCTGTATCTATCATAATACAGCTCTCAATGTAATACTGGACGCCTATAACAAGGTATTGATATTTTCTCCTAAAAACAGCATAATAGTGGGAAACTTTCTGCAAAATACATAGGAAAACCAATTTTTATAACAGCAAAATAATTCAAGGTTCCAGGAGAAAAAGAAGTTATGAATTAACTATTTAGATGTTCAAACTGATACTTTCCCCAAGTAATCATTTCTGAAGAGAGATTACTAAAAAGAAGCTAATATAGTAGAGAGGGGGAAATCTCAAACAGCCAGTAAAAGATTCTCAAATATTACTGAAATCAAAGAGTGAAAACATAAAGTTGAGATTTCAAAGTTACACAAGGAATTCTTAGCTCTCATTCAAGAAACTCAAAAACACATAATTCTTTAAAGTTGGCTGAAAGATTTTTATTTTATCAAAATAAACGGTCTAATATTTTTGAAGATAGACCTTTATAAGGCATGATGACAGCTTTAAAAGAGTCCTATGCCATTTATTGGATTCCAAGGCCCCAGAACAGGGGCAGGCAAACTTTTTCTATAAAGGGCCAGATAGTAAATATTTTAGGCTTTGTGGGCCATACAAGTGTCTGTCACAACCACTCAACTCTGCATTTGTAACATAAAAGCAACCAAAGACAATAATGAATGAGCATGGCTATATCCCAATAAAACTTCATTTAGTAACACTAAAATCTGAATTGCACATAATTTTCATGTGTCACAAAATATTATTTTTCTTTTGATTTTTTTTCAACCACTTAAAAATTTAAAAACCATCCTTAGCTCTGGGACCATACAAAAAAAGGTTACAAGAAGGATTCAGCCTGGGCATAGTTTGCCAACCCCTTCCCCAGAAAGAAGAATGAAAAGAAATAATCTAAGAAACAAAATTTCTGAAAAGTTACAGAAAGGCTAAGAAAAATACATGCAGTTCCTTTTTTACACATATAAAACTGCCATTGTAATTTCTTATTTTCAAAACTGTTTTGCTCTACAAAGATTTCTCAGGAAAATGACAAGAATAAATCCCAATAAACTTTGCTATTGATAACTATTCTAGGACCAATATACAGATACCAAAATAAATTTTCTTCATCTATGTTTTAAGAAAATATCAGGAGGTGGAAGTAAGGAGTACTATGAGAATGAATAGGCTATTTTTCCCCTACAACTATAAAAAAGAAAAAGGTATCCTGATGGCCACTTCATTTTACCCTAAAAGAATTCAAAAAAAAGCTCCTGCTGTGTTCATGATGCTCATCTCTGGGCTCAGCTCTGTAGGTTTCTGATTTCCATTCATATCAATTGACAAAACTTCTTTCCCCACTGACTAAAGAACAGAGAAGAGAGACTACACTTGCTATTTAGTCCCTAAATACGTAGCTCTCCAAGACAGGCAACTAGGCAGACATGCAAACGGCAGCAGTTCTTCCCTGACCTAATTTATCCTCTCCTCCGTGCTCTCGTCTGCATTTCCCTATGTTAGAACCCCAACCCTCTAAAGAGATTCACCTAAAGATATAATAATGTGACAACTCAGCAATCATCTCTGGGAAAAGGGTGATGATAGTGTAAAATGTCCTGAAATATTCCTAAATGTCAAGAAGTTTAAAATATTCAGAAAGGCAGTCCTTTTCCCTCAGAAATTTTAATCACTTAGAATCAGAAAGCCACTATTCTTTCTTGTGGTATATGCAAACCAGAAAACTCCCAAGTTATTGCAGGAGTTACATAATTTGATTAGCACTATCAATGACATGAAAGAATATTTGAATAAGAGATTGACAACTGAGAAGCCAATGAACTCACTTTTGGAGGAAAATACTTTATTACTTATTTAACTTAATACTTTATTACTTACTTAAAGTATATTTTAATGGCACCATACTAAATAATATGTTCAAGCAAGAAATTCCTTAAATCCATACAATTAAGACCTTAAAATCTTTGAGAGAATACTCACTTTTTGGAACAGAGAGCCAATTTCAAAATAATCAACCTGAGTCTATACTTCACCTTTACCTATAGTAAATACCTATATTAGAATTTATTATCAGAATCAGAGGGTTTTTTTTTTTTAAAGCTTTTAATTTTTTATTTATTTATTTATTTTTCCCCCCAAACCCCAGTAGATAGTTGTATGTCATAGCTGCACATCCTTCTAGTTGCTGTATGTGGAACGTGGCCTCAGCATGGCCGGAGAAGCGGTGCGTCAGTGCGCGCCCAGGATCCGAACCTGGGCTGCCACCAGCAGAGCGTGCGAACTTAACCGCTAAACCATGGCGCCAGCCCAGAGGGTTTTTTTTTTTTACTGTAAACTAAACTGACAACAAGATCAATGAAGATACTAAACATTTCTTTTGTTATTAATACTATTTACCTATAATATTACTATTGAAAATACAGATTTAGAAAAGACAGATATTTTGCTGTCTGATAATATAACAGTGTGGAGAACTTATGCTAGAACTGTCCCACTTAGAAACTTAAGTAAGATATGGTTAAAACAAATGAAAACATTTTAAAACAAAACAAAGTAAACTCAGATATGTCAATATTGATAAAACAATCAGGTGATTAAAGACATATTGTTTTGCTGCCTCCAGGACTAGCAGTCTAGTCACAGGAGGGACTCTCCTAAGCCTATTCTTACCACAGGAGATTGCTACTTCAGTATTAGCTTATGCTGTAAGACTCACTGTAAGTGTTATGAATACGTAATTTTCACAGAGGACTATTTAATAACTCAATACCAAAGTAGCTCCAGATAATGCCTATTTGATATTATTCCTCTTCATTAAGATATCTAGTTTGGGCTGGCCCGGTGGCTTGGCGGTTAAGTGCACGCGCTCCACTACTGGCAGCCCGGCTTCGGATCCTGGGCGCGCACCGACGTACCACTTCTCCGGCCTTGCTGAGGCCGCGTCCCACATACAGCAACTAGAAGGATGTGCAACTACGACATAACAACTATCTACTGGGGCTTTGGGGCAGGAAAAAAACGAGGAGGATTGGCAATGGATGTTAGCTCAGAGCCGGTCTTCCTCAGCAAAAAGAGGAGGATTAGCACGGATGTTAGCTCAGAGCTGATCTCCCTCACAAAAAAAAAAAAAAAAAAAAGATATCTAGTTTTGACTACTGGTAAACTCTGTAAGTTTTTTGGTTTTGTTACAGTGGTTGTTGGTTTGTGCTTTATGAAATTCAAGAGAAAAGACATACCTTTTGGCACACGACATTGTGCAGAATCGTTTTGACCGCAGAAATTCATTAGCATATCCCATCTTCCCACAGAATTCACACTTGAGCAACTCACTGTCCATTTCTTCTAATGTCTCTAAAAAAGAAGGAAATATAGGAAAAAACTTCCAAAAATTTAATTGTAGCAAATTTTCTTTTAGCCTCTACTTTGTGTGGATGCTGCTAATTCAAACCATCCAGGAAATTTCAAGGAGCGGTCTTTTAACCTTCCCGTCCACAGCCACTGTGGCAGGCCAAAAGCCTGCAAGAACAACCCCTCCACCAATCCCCTCCTGCTCCTGCATAAAAATGTTATAGAGTTTTCCCTATATAAATAAATGATACATTTTTACAGGTTCATTTTGCTAAGAATCCAGCATATCTAAAATGTGCAAATAACTTTATTAAGCACTGTAAGAGAAATGAAGATGAATGAGACAAAATCACTGCCCTTCAGGAGAAACAATCAAAAAGCACTGTGTAGGATATGAATGCTGGTACACTGTGCTATGGGGACATACAGCAGAGAACACGTAACTCGAACTGGCGAGAATGAGGATGACTTCAAAAAAGAAGGTCAAATTTTGAGATGTCTGATTTTAATAAAATAACACTCTCAAAGTGTTACGATAGAATAAAGATGTATACATCTAATTATAAAACAGTCCCTTTTAGTTATATCCTATTAAAACAAAAATAATTTAATCTTAAAAATCACAAATAATTTTGCAATTTCTAACCTCTGGTCCTTTTTGTCAGGGTGCTATTAGTTCTTCCACCTCTAAATCCATATTATATCCTTCCTCCACCTTTATATCCATAACATTCTTTAGCCATACCACTGGACTCAAAGAAACTTCCTACCTAAATGCTCAGGTATTCAGCAGGAGTCACCTATAAGCAAGCAACTTAATCTTCATGACCCACAGTTTTCTCATCTGTAAAATGGGGTTTATAATACCTTTCCCAAGAACTTCAGTGAAGATTAAGTGAGTGCCCAACAGGAAGTAGGCACAAAAAAGTGACAATCTATTTCCTATTTTCCACATAAGAACTAAGAGTACCAAGACCTGTAATAAGTGCTTAAGAAATATTTCAATGAAAACTGTTAAATTCTTAAATCCACCATATTTTGCTATTTTCTTGCATCATAATTCCTATGCCAAGTCATATAAAATAAGTAAAAAAAGCACTCCACTAACTAAAAGCTTTTAGCTGTGAGCTCCGTATGTGCTTTTCTATGCTATTCCTTTAACCAAGACTTGTTAAGCTGAAGAAAGGGACTCTGAAATGCAGACATTGATGACATGTTCTCAGTAAGTTCAAGCACTCACATTATTCTAATGTTACTAGAGAAGCAAATGGGAAAATACTAAAGCAAGTGAAGGCTACTAAAAAACATACTGTGAAATAATATTTGAAGTTCCAAGGGACATCCAAATACGCTGTCATGACTGATCAAATCATGAACTAGCAAGTGAACACTTTAAGAAAATTATCAGGACTACCTTCATAAGCAAAAGTCATCTATTTGGTAGCACTGAGGAAGAAACAGTCTCAACACAAGTAAAATAAAAATTGCTCCTTCTAATGACCTAGAGAAGGCTTTCTCACAGCTGTGGCCCAACAACACATTCCTGGGACCTGATGTCATAACTTGCAGGAGTATTGTTTTTACTTGGTCATGCTTGTAACCTGACCTGACCTGACCTTGAAAAGCCTGTACCGGAGACAGAACCTCTCACTCAACCACCCCTGCCACCAATCGGGCCCCCAAGAATCCATTCCTCAAGTTGTTCCATTTCCAGACTAACCTGAAAGCTTTATTTCAAAACTTTTTATTAATTAACATAACAATATGAAACACTTGAAGACAGGTTAGAATACCGTATCAAGGAGAAGGAAATGTTTTTGCTGGTGAGAGGGGGAGATCCCAAACAGGTACAGTCTAAGGGTTAACAACCTAACAAAAACAGAACATCGATTTTACTTCTCATAAAGAAGAGAGTAACGTGAACAGATTTTTAAAAATCCCTGTTCTAGAATGTTTGGTCAGAATTTTCATAAATTTGGTAATGTTACCAAGGCTACTTTTTCACATTTGTGAATAAAAAATTACAGAGCCAAATGAGTTCAAAAACTGTTGGCTTAGCTAACAAAGATGGGATTCCATGGCAGAGACAGCTGGTAATTCTCCAACATCCATTCATCACTTTTCTCCCACAGTAACAAAATCCTAATTTTTAGCTAGGAATATGGCCACTAAGAATAAAAACTACAGTTTCTGCCCTAGGTATGGCCAATTTCCAACCAGTGACACAAGAATGGAAACGCTTGCAAATTCCAGTGGTGCCCTTTCCCCCGTCTCATTGATTCAAATGTGACTGTGAAGATCAGCTATTTTGGAAATGACAGCAACATTCAAGGGATGGCAGAGTCATAAGAGACACTGGGAGCTTAGGTCCCAACACCATGGAGCCCTGGACTGCTTACCTTTGGGCTATGTCAGAGAAAATTAAACTTCTATCTTACTTAATCAAATATTATTCTAGATCTCTAATGGAGTGGCTAAACATATATCCTAACTAACAGAGGTGCCCAATTTTTGTGTGTGAGGAGGAGTTAGTTTTTAATTTTCCTGAAGACTTGAGATCACTTGAGGATTGGCAGCAAAGAGAGAGGCAATGAGACAGAAACCATGATCAGTGTGATAATTTACCAGGGCAGACATAAGATGTTTTGGTAAATCACAATCTATGGGTTGGAGATTCTGGATATAGAACCAGTCCAAATAGAAACACAGTTTAGAGCCAGCCCTGATGGCCTAGAGGTTAAGTTTGGCACGCTCCGCTTCAGCGGCCAGGGTTCAGTTCCCAGGCGCAGAACCACACCACTCATCTGTCAGTTGCCATGCTGTGTTGGTGGCTCACACAGAACTAGAAGGACTTACAACTGGAATATACAACATGTACTATGTCCTGGGGCTTTGGGGAAGAAAAAAAAGAGGAAAATTGGAAACAGATGTTAGCTCAGAGCGAATCTTTCCCAGCAAAAAAAACAAACACAGTTAATCCTTTAAAAAGAGAAAAAGCTTTACATTACGTTTTTTATACTGAGTTAAACCATATATACTACTAAAACCAAAGCCACTAAATAAGTGACCTCACCATTTCACCCTCTAGTGCTTACCATAAACAGTGAGGTATACAGTAATAGAAACATTTTATAAAATTATTTTGGGAAATTAAATTATGAATTATTTAAAATTTTGGCACATTTTTATGTAAATATATCTCCACTATGAAATAGATTAATCATCTATTTGTATCGAATATATTTAACATTGTGTAAATTTAAAATGCACAACATATTAATTTGATACATTTATATATTATGATTGCTGTTTTAACTATGTTTAGCACCTCTATCACACTGCATAATTATCCTTTCTTTTTAGCAGTTGGGATAATTTTTAGTCTCTTAGCAAGTTTGATGATTGTAGTTACAATATGATTGTCTATATTCATTACACTGTGCATTAGCTCTCTATGGCTTATTCACCACTCATTGCATGGATTAACCACCCTTAAATCTTCCTTTTCCTTACTCTCGTAGCTTGTTCTGTTAAACTACCCTTCACCTTGTCTTCCATCAATCCTTTCCTTCCTCTTCCCACCGTGAATGCAAGTATCAATTACATGCCAAACCTCTACAGTCATCCTCCAGATGACCAGCAGAGTTTCTAAAAACACTCTTGTTCATGTCACCTGCCTAAAAATCTTCAGCAACCATCCTCTCGACAAGATAACTCCTAACTATTTAGTCGAATATCCAAGGTACTCTAGAACCTGACTCTGCCAGTCTTACTTCCCACTACTTCTCTAACCCAAATGCCTACTCTTCACTGCCCCCTCCTGATGTTACACAGCACTTGGTACATCCTTTGTGCATTTATTCACGGTGTTCTAACCTGAAAGTTTCTTCCTGTTTGCTATCTTAAATCCATGCTTTATCACATCCAAGACCCAGGTCAAATCCCATCTCTACAGAAAATTCACCAAACTAGCAATAATCTCAACTAGTTTTAAAGTCCCAAGTTCTTACTGTCTATATAATTCATGTAAAACTTTCCATATGTTGCTCCTTAGTTATCTTTCTGTTATGGAGACTCACTAGTTCCTACTAGATCAAAAGTTCCTCTCAAGTCCTAGCACAGTGAGCATGTGCTGTATGTCTATTATTTTATAAACCATAAGTATCATGAAAAATGCTGTGAAGCTCCTAAGCAGTTTTCCATTTTTCTTTAATGTGCACACAAGACAGAACATTATATATGTTTTTTAGCATAGTACTTTCATTTATACACTTCTTGTAGATATAGGCAAGGAAAAAAAATCCCTGCACATTCATCTTTACTACTCCATCTCAAATGAAAAGTTTTCTCAGATAAAAGTTACACATAACTAAAAGCAAATATTCAGGAATTAAATGAAATTAAATTCATAACAAAAAGCAAAATGCAGACATTGTTTGAATCCTGATTTGAACAAAATAACTATAAAAAGACATTTATACAATTATACAATTGGGGAAATCTGAGTATGGACCAAGTACTAGAAGACATCAAAGAATTATTATTATTATTGTTTTGTGTGATATAGCATTATAGTTATTTAATGCAATGTACATTGTTTAGAGATGCACAATGAACTATATCCCAGTGAAATACAATGAGGACTATGATTTTCTTTTTATAATTTTTTTTTTTTGTGAGAAAGATAGTCCTGAGCTAACATCCATGCTAATCCTCCTCTTTTTGCTGAGGAAGACCGGCTCTGAGCTAACATCTATTGCCAATCCTCCTCCTTTTTTCTTCCCCCAAAGCCCCAGTAGATAGTTGTATGTCATAGTTGCACATCCTTCTAGTTGATGAATGTGGGGCGCAGCCTCAGCATGGCCGGAGAAGCAGTGTGTTGGTGTGCGCCCGGGATTCGAACCCGGGCCGCCAGTAGCGGAGCACGCGCACTTAACCGCTAAGCCACAGGGCCAGCCCATGATTTTCTTTTTAAAACAGAAGAAAGGAAGAAAAGAAAAGAAAGAGGAAAAGCAACAAAGAAAGAGAAAGAGAGGAGGAAATGGAGGGAGGAAAACAAAAGGGATGGGCGAGCTAGTGTGGCAAAATAACGTTTGAAATTGTTGAGTCTGGGTGAGTGGGGATTCATTATACAATGCTCTCGCATTACATGTATGTTTGAAATTTTTCATGGTTAATTTTAAATAAAAAAACATCAAGTTGAATTCAATGTAAGTTAACAGTAAAAACCAAATTTTATACTACTATCATAACTATCATATTCTTTGCTATTCAAATAAAGGTAAAACAGTGATGAATACGTTGCAACAGTTTATAAATTACCAACGACAGAGGTGCCTTCGTTTTAAGAATTAGGAAAACTGGGCTAAGACAATATCTATTTTGCTTACTAGCATGCTATTTTGCTTAATTTAGCAAAGTACAGGCAGACAGTATATGCTCAATATTTGCAAAATGACTAATTAATTTTAGATGAAATATACTAAGATATTGAGGATAATTACTCAGACACAGATGTTAATTAATACACTACTATAGAGCCCTGACTATACTAAATACTATTCAATTAAACTGAACTGTATCAATTGCAGGGCCATGCTCAGAGTCAGTAAAAGATAAAATATATCATTTTTGCATTTGTTTGTTTTCCTGCAGTCATTTTGTATAACACTTTGACTTTTATGGAATATTCACTATTAGAACAAAGTCTATAAAAAAGGATTCTTTGACATTAAGGAGATTTAGTGATATTTTTCTTTGAACAAATTTAATCACCTCTTGAATAAAGAGCACATCCTTAATGCAACTGTAATATCCACCTGGTATCACACATCAGAATACGGAAAGTCTAAAACCAAATAACCCATAAGCTTTAAACTTTTAAGCAAACTCAGTAAAATAGTCATTTACTTAAGTATGCTTAGAAAAAGAAAGACAGAGAATTGGTTGTTTTCATGCTAAAATTTTGCATTACTTTCATATATAATGGAACTTTCCCCACCCACACTCCTTCAAGAGTCAAACTAACATTATGCAAATTAACAACAATCTTGCTATTTTAATTATTTGGCCATTAAGAGTCTGGTTACCTTTCCCATTTTAGTCAAATCATGTATTATGTAAGAATAAAAGTGAATACTTCAAATAAAATCTTTGTAGAATAAAAATCCATGTTCTGTTTCAAGCAGTAAAAATCAAAGTTAATTTAAAGGGTATCTTAAGTAAAATCCACAAACCTTCAGCAATCATGTCTTCCATCTCTGTGTCAGATGAGTTATCTGCGTGCTTTGTATTATTCTGTAGCTCTGGCTGAACACACACAGAATTTATCACCTGATTATCCAAAAGAGGCCTTTTTTTCACAGGCTGTTCTATTAGCAAAGATGAACGACTCACCTATAAAAGACAAAATAAAATGAAATAATCTTTTAAAAGACTTTTAGAAATAACTTGGTTAAAAAACCTCTTGAAATGAATGCTATCTGTGATAATTTACTTGTTCAACTGATCAGAGTCATTCATTAAGTGCTTTATTCCTTGAGAAAAGGTTAGGCAATCTGGACAAAAACACTTTATATTTCAGGTCATCAGCAGTACAGATGCTTCAAAGTCTCTGTCAAATGGAACCTAGTGTCCTAGTTTAGGCAAGTAGTTAAAAAAAAGTCTTAAGAAATCAGTAATAAATTTTGATTAGCCAGTATCCTTAATTTATTTTTTTTCTGCAACAACTTTTAAGATTTATTTTTCTTGTACAAAGCTTTTTATTTGTAGGATTACTTCCTCAGGATGGATCGGTATTGTATGTATTTTAAAGACAAGAGCACTAATGTTCAAAGTGGTTAGGTGATTTCTTTACAAAAGCGGAATCAGGACCAGAACTCAAGTCTCCTGACTCTAGTTTGCAACTTAATCCACTATAATCACACACAAAAAAATGGAAAAATCCTCAAACATTAACATTAAAATCAACAACAAAAAAATTATTCATTTATGTTCAGTATATATGGTTAACTCATGAATACTACTTATTTTAGAAATGTTTTCAGCAAAAACAATCCAGACCAAAAATATTTACTGATTCACTAGTGAACCCTCAGCAAATCTGAAAAAACGGAACCTCTTACACTATTTGAGAATGCTTGTTAAGTCTCCAATATCTGCCACACATGGTGAACAATAGCTTATTGGAAATTTCTACATCTAACTTTAGAGAATAATCACCCACAAACTTTTAAATTTTGTTCATTTCAGTTAGTATACTTAATATGTTTCAAGTAAAATTTACGGAAGTTATTGCTGAAAAAACTAATATTCAGTGCTGCTAAGGGTACACACTTCTGGTATATGAATAAATTTACATAATATTTCCAGAAAATAATTTGGCAATATTTATCAAGAGTCTTATGAATACATATGTAATGTGATCCAATACCTGTACTTCTAGGAATTTATGCTCAAGAAATTATTAAAAATGTGAACAATTTATATACAAAGATATTCCTTTTGGGACTATTTCAACAGTGAAAATATGGAAACCTAAATGTCCAACAATAATGGAAGGATTACAAAAATTATGGTTGTCCATACTGGAATATTATTGAACCTTTCAAAATCTTTCCAAAGTACTATTAATCATATGAGAAAATAAGTGCTCAAGATATACTAAGTAAAAGAAGCAGAACTGTATATATAATAATAATCTTGATCATATAAAAAAATATGTATATGTAAATATACACATTGTGGGATTATTTGTTCTGTACATTTCCCAAACTTTCCATTTAAAGAACAATACATATTACTTTTGTACTATGAAAAAAAAAGTTGTAATTGTCACTAGTAATAACCGATAATAATAGCAATGGCTATTAAGTGCCAGGCACTACACAGAACAATTTATACACATTTAATCTTCACAATAACCCTAAGAACAAAGTATGATCTCCATTTGCCAGATGAGCAAAACAAAAATCAAAAAGGTTGAGTGACTTGAAAAAAGGTTACACAGTCAGTTTGCGGCTGAACCAGGATCCAAACACTGAGGAGTAGAGAGAAAAGACTGTTCCTCCACTCACTAGATCAGAATTCTTATAGGAGATCCAAGTTTAATACACACAGTAAACTGAAAACAAAGGCAATCGATTAGGCAACCAACTATCACAATGCAAGATCTTCATCTCCCATGAATCTGAAAAACCAGATGATTCAAAGGCCTTCAAAATAAATTATTTTGTTTTCTTGTCTTTGATTTTGGCTTTAATTTTGGCCACCTGTCTTTGATTTATTTTCTAAGAAAAAATGTTCATCTCTAGCTATTAGCATACAAATTATATACAGCTTAGTTTCAGATTATAAGACTTTTAGTGATAGATATGGCACCTCCGTTTTGAGGTGAACATTTTAAAGCATTTTAAAAATCTGAAGGCTGAGATTTAAGAATAAACGAGAAAATCTACTTGCTAATTTTAAACCGTCAACCTGGTAACTTCAGAAGTATTAGGTCATTGGGAAGTTATTTTCTGTACTCAAGTTAAAGTTTACAAAGTATCACATTACACAAGAAACACCATTTAAAAAATAATATACTAAGTGTCATTTCAGCCTCCTTAAAAAGATAAAATAGAAAAGTTTATTTCATTGTTGTAAACTTCCAAGTATCTTTCTCTAAAAATTATAAAATTGGTATCCTTATATCCTGAAATTTTTCTCCTTAGTTTATACATCTAAATAGCTAGCTTAAAATTCTGGAAGTATATTTGGAAATATGTAAAGGATATACATAGAGAGAGAAATTCTAGATAAAAAGACTGACAACTTTTTGAAATAAGATTACAACCTTTTTATTAGAGGACAATGATAGACTAAATTTAAAAATAAGGCTACACGAATAATTTAAAAAATACAAATTTAATTGCTACTTACAGGAAATGGCTCCAAACCCTCCTGAATCACAAAGCCTTCAATAACATGGGTCAAGATCTGTGGTTTAACGATAGCCTGTGGAGGTTTGTTTTCTATACTGGGAATGCTACTAGGCATGGATGTACTATTACTCCTTGTAGCAGCAGCTGGAAGTAAGAGTGGAGGTGGAGGAACAGAAACATGTGAAGGATCTGACGGAGATTTAATGACTGAAGCACTGACTGATGCCACAGCAGGTAATTCCACTTGCTCTGAAAGAAGAAGTCATTTTGTTTGATCTTTAGCATTCTGCCCAGGCAAATATGAAAGAAAATTCAAGAATAAATATTAATTACAGTTAATATCTGGTGCTTTAAAACACCATTCTAAGAACTTTATTATCTCATTTAATCTACACAATAACTTTATGAGATAGAAACTACTATTAACCCTACTTTACAGAAGAAGGGAGTAGCTTGCTCAAAGTTATCATTCCAACCTTGGTTAAAAAGAACTGTCCCATAAAACATGAAAATGTTTTAGAACGTCAATTTAAGAATAATTACTAAAATAACTGCTTTTTTAAAAAATTTTAAGCTACACAGATATTAAATTTCCTATGTTCCTGTTTATATATTCCAAATGGTATGGGAGAAAAATGTACTTTGAAAGTATGCTTAAATAAAAAGGATCCTGAAATCCACAGAATAATTAGAGATTTTGATGAATTACACAGATCATCACCTTTATTTCAAGCAGTAAGGCTAATCCAACTCCATGCACAAATGTTCTTTGGTTTTTTTTTTTTTTTTACAACTCTCCAGTGGCACTGTACATGTCAATTTGGGGCAACAACTGTAGTACCAGGCAAGTGCAAAACAATGGGCTGGATCACTGTGATTCCTCCCCTTCAAACTCTGAGGACCACAATAAGTAGACCCGACAGCCTGTGATGGAGATTTTACCTACCCATTCGATAGCACCGAAGAACCTTTACTGCATGTACTAAAGTGGAAAGATGGAACCAGCTGATAGCTAGGAATATCAGTGAGTACAGATATCTGAGAAAAATAACAAAAAAAGAGCATTGTGTAAAGATACTACTACTACTTACTGAGCACTTATATGCCAGCTACTGTGTAAATGCCTTACAGGTTGTAACTCATTTAATCCTCTAAACTAGCCTATGCGTAGGTACTGTTTTTAATCTCCATTTTATAGACATGGAAACGAAGACACAGAAAGATAAAGTAACTTGCCTAAGGGCACACAGTTAATAAGTAGTGGAGCTGGGGCTCTGGAGACAATGCTCTTAATTGCTATGCTAACTCCTCTCCACCAGCAGTTATGAAAGGATTGACACCACTATCAAAGATGCTCAAAATATAGCCCAGTTAGAGAAGAAAGAATAAGAATCCCTAGAGAATAAAAATTTCAGCTAATAAAATAGTATAGTGATCATCTGTGTAGTCTCAGAAATGGAAAAGATAACAGTTCACACTTAGTAACTGTGATGTGATCAATAATATGTACCTTATCACAGCACTGTTATAGCCATAAATTAACCTAGTTTCACCAAATAATCCACCAAGATAAACTGTACTGGAAAACCTGTTTAAAGTCACACAATCCCTTATGAAAACTAAAAAAGAAAGTCAGTAGAAAATGCTGGTTTGCTAATTTCTGGGAACAAATACACAACTGTACACATGCATTACCAAACTGAGAAACTCCACAAATATCCTACCCATACCCAATCTTCACATATACTTCTAGAGTAAGAGATAAAAGATAAAAAACTCTGAAGTGGGACTGAAAGGCATTTTTTCTGTTGGAAGGAAAATATAAATCTACGGGGAACTGAAAAATAAGATAAAATTTTAATGTCCCTTATAGTTCACAGATACTCCATTACTTTAGAAATATAAACCTGAATTAAGTATAATTTGGTTTTTTCAGAAAATACTGCTTGGTATATGTTCTAATTAATTTTTAGATCATACATACAAATGTGCCAATCTTACATAGTCCTAAATTGTGTTAAAAACAGAGCTTTGCGGCCAGCCCTGTGGCCTAGTGGTTAAGTTCACGTGCTCTGCTTCAGCAGCCCAGGTTCTCGGGTTAGGATCCCGGGCGGGGACCTACACCACTCATTAGCCATGCAGTGGCAGGGACCCACATACAAAATAGAGTAAGACTGGCACAGATGTTAGCTCAGGGAGAATCTTCCTCAGCAAAGAAAAAAAACACCCAAAAAACAGCTTTAAATTACTGACTTTTTGAAGAAGCTAATAGTTACTACTTGCCAGATTATAATCAGCTGTTAAAATCAAAAACATAAGAAACAGCAACATATTACAGTAGGAAAAAAACACAATTATTGTACTCTCTAGATTTAAGACAACTATGAGAGAAAACCCAATTAACTGATACGATTTTGCCACAGGTTACTATGCCTATTCACTCTCATTTTCTGAGCAAGATCTATGGGCTTTTTCCACCTTTTTTTAAATGGATGCATCTTCCTTTAAAGAATTTTTATAGATATATGAAAACTGAATCCTGGATGGAAACAAGTTCTTCTATTTTTGCAGGTTAGTTTATTTCACGGTTTGATGAGAGTTATTCTAAACATCAACCTGTGCTTGCTTTTCTTCCTCATACACTACAGAAGAGTATTAAGTATTTACTTCATAGTAAACAACAGAAGATTCAAAAGTCTACATTGTACTCAGACAATTTAGCCAGAGAGATATTCTTGACAGGATCTCAGACTATATTCCTGAGGAAAAAATGTGAAGATATTCTTGTGTTCCAATATTTGAAAAATGTTTAAATTTTCTTTGAGTACCATTATAATGCTTATTAGGTAATTAAATCACAGAGACAATGCAAGGTTAGTATCCAATTAAACTTATATTTCTGCTTTTAAATCAAAACTCCAGGAAATCTGCAGTGTACAGAAGGTTCCATTTTCAGTGTACAGAAACTACAAAGATTATTAAATCTTCAACAATTTCTTAAATCTTTTGAGGTATTACTTTGAATAAACAAAGGCAATAATATTAAACTTGTCAAATATTTTATATATAATTTTATTGAGTAAACGTTTTCTATTTATGAGGAGGGGGAAATAGTTGCAAGAAAATTGATTTTCCCCCTTCTATGCTTCCCAGAGACTCACACTTGTCGTAAGGGAATAAAAGCTGGAGAGAAGAGAAGTGTTAGAGATGTGGCATGCTGAAGAAAAGAGAGAGCAAGGGTAGCTTTAGTAGCGAAGTCAGTGTCCCATTACAATTTGTTTCCATGCCTGTTATAGTGGTTCTTCTGAACTGAAAACTATCACGAAGGCCATGAGATACTGAATAGAACAGAATACTTACAACGAAGCCTGAGCCAAGATTAGTATTATCTGGATCAGGGGTCAGCAAACTTTCTATAAAGGACTATATGGTCTCTGCAACTACTCATCTTTGCCACAGTAGTGCAAAAGTAGCCATAGATAAATATTTGAACAAATGAACGTGGCTGTGTTGAACACAAGGAAATTTGAATTTCACATAGTTTTTACATGACATGAAATATTACTCTTCTTTTGAATTTTTTTCAACCACTTACAAATTTTAAAACTATCCTCAGCTCACAAAAACAGGCAGCAGGAAAGATCTGAGCTATAGTTTGCCAACCCCTGATCTAAATAAAATATTCATAAATAAAAAAAACCCTAACTTGGGCCGGCCCCGTGGCTTGGTGGTTAAGTGTGCACGCTCTGATGCTGGTGGCCCGGGTTTGGATCCCGGGTGCACACCGAGGCACCACTTCTCCGTCCATCCTGAGGCCGAGTCCCACATACAGCAACTAGAAGGATGTGCAGCTATGACATACAACTATCTACTGGGGCTTTGAGGGGGAAAATAAATAAAATAAAATCTTTAAAAAAAAAAAAAAAACCCTAACAGAATATATCTTTTTTAGGACCTAGACACTGGGCTACAAGTCATACTAATGTTTTAGTACATTACCAAGGATTCACAGTCACTTTGATATTGTGAGGAGGAGCATACAGAAGATTTACCTGAACTCATAAGTAGCACTGAAGTAGTGAATAAGAATTTGAATGCTTAAACTCAAGAATGTTTTAATCCATGTCTCTAATAAGAATTAGTGAGGCTTAATTTAAGTACTGTCTGGAAAAGAACACTTTTAAAAGCATTTCCTCAGTCTGGATCACAAGCAATTATGAGGATGTCAAATACGACTTAGAATGCTTTGTGATTTGGGGAAAGTATAACTGAAATCTTTTGATAGATATTTGATTTATTCTAATTTCTAAGCTAGAAATAGCTTGACACATGAATCTGAATGGGCCTTTGAAACAGATCCGTACAAACCACTAAAAATTAGAAGGCTAAAATACGTTTTTCATTTGGGTGGTTCTTCATCAACTGTTCTAATTGTTCCTTATCAAAAAAAAATCTTGAATTCTAATCTATGTTTTGCTGCAATTAATTACATAACAAATTGGTTTAGTATCATCTCTAGTGAAAAAAAAATACTTTTCCCATCACTAACATTTATCTAATAGAAAACTCCCCCAAATTTAAGTATTTTCTCACCTAACAAAGGATGTTCGGAAGTCAAATCCTCTCCTCTCCCCACAGTGATGGCAGCTGGAGACAATGTGGGTGGTGGTGGGGTTCTGTCCATCCGGACACATTCATCTGACTCTTCTGGCATTTCTTCTTCACACACATCTTCTACTTGATAAACCTGCAATAACAAACCACACTGCCTTAAAATTTTTCCAGAAAAAGTTAACAAGGTGCTCCTACCTTAATTAAAAAAAATAAATTCTAAGTGTTTTAAATTTAAAAACAAGGCAAAATGACTACTTGACAGGTTGAAAGGAAAACTTTCAAATCACTTAAATGAAGTTTTTCATAATACCTGACAATATTCACTAAAAGCAAGTTGTGGATCAATATCTAGGCTACAAATCACTAAGGTTTCGAAAAAGTAATTGTCAAGTCAGAACATATTTTTAATTTTGAGAATTAGAAAAATGTTTTGATTTTATATACTTGAATAACTATTTTGGGAATTGACTATTGTTTCTGTTAAGTTCTAATTGTCATAAATCAAAATCAAAATAGATACTAACATGTTTCACAAGCACACCAAGTAAATCTCCAAAATGACACATAATATATCAGGAAATGTACTGGTTAAAGGACTACATCCCAGGGTCGTCTTTATTATATTTATGTGAACTAAAGATTAAATTATGAAAAGTAATGTCCAACTAACTACAAAAAAGGTATGCAATTACATCTTTTCTTTAATTTCTGATCTGCTCAAGAATCTAATGCATTTTTATAAGCTAATATCAGGTAAACAGAAAGTATTTGTCCTTGCAATAATTCATACACACACACACACACACCCCCCATCCTAAGCCATTTGACACATTATTTTTAGTTCTTTAATATTGTTCTATACCTATAGAGCAAAGTTTTTAAGTCTTTAATTTAACTACCTTGGTATCCAATAGTAAAGACTATACTTAAGAAGAAAACATGGACTCAAAAGCACTCTGAGAAGGAACTATATAACTAAAAATAACTAAATTATTATTGATTTTTTATTAAACTTAAAGCTAAACTTTCAAAGTCCACTTCTAGAGACTGACACAGATATTTTAATTTGTCATCGTTATTTATTTAACTACTATTTTCGGAAGATGATAGGTTACTAAAAACAAAGCCACAAAGCAGCTCACCCCCCTTCATTTACATACAAAGCTTACTACTTAAATTCACAAAGGTTGTGAGTTTTTAAGATTACTTACCCAAACTGATTAATACTTCTAATAAATGTTAAAACAAAAAACTTTTCAACAACATTCATAAAAAACCTTAAGTGATATCTAATATTGTATATATTTTTAATCAAACCATTGAAAAAGTTTTATGATTTGAAGTATATAAAATTAAATATAAAAATGATCAAGACTTCTTAAACCAGCATAAACCATGTATTATATAAAGGACTACGAAGTCTCACCTACAAAGGCATCTCTAACAACCACAACAGTGTGGGAAAAAAACCACTAACTTTCTAAGCCTCTACTAAGAATAAAATATCCTTTCTTCTGCGCCTTTTAAAAAATTTAAAAATCTTGTTGTTAACGATAAGTTTGTATCAAATATAATATCCAGAATTGTGATCTGAATCAGCTACTAAGTAGGCAACGTTTTTAAAAGTTATTTGCTCACAGCCCTGCATCTGGAAGCCTGTTTCACCAGGAGAGATTCCTTGCCTCGTGTCTGGATCCTCAGAAGTGGAGGCAGTCGTTCGTTACTGTACAGTGCAGCAATGATAGCTGCTAGTATCTGTTCATGATAATTTTTTTAAAATGATGATAATGTTCAATACAGGGAAAGTCATCCAAAAAAATGTCCTGGGGTTAAAGGAAAAAAAAAAAAAAAACCTTCTAATGAGGGGCATCTGCTGTAGTAGTGATTACCTTAATTTGGCAGAGTGGTGGGGATGCTGATTCAGAGGTAATTAGACAAGTACAGTTTCATCAACCAGTTCAATTGCATCTATGTAGCATTCCTTTGTTAGGTATTACTTTTCTTCCAAAGATCATTACCTTTCTTAAAATGCAGAAACTCTCTTTTTAATATTAATGCTGTCAAGTTTTTCAAATACCTACTACAGTAGCTTTTAAGGAATCAAAGTTTGTTCATGCACAGAATTCTGATTTTTAAAAAACAATGGAACAGTTTTAAAGGATAAAAAGAGGCATCACACAAATAGCATATTCTGAAATAATCCATCAAAGAATACTGTAAAATACTTTTCATTATTTATAGTCAAGCCTAACTATACATACTTTCTTTCAAATCTCCCATGTAAAGGCAAAATAAGTTAATGAATAAAAGAAGTAGGAAAAACAGATCTGTTCAGACATCTGGCACCATAACCATAAAAAAAAATCTAAGTGCAACAACTAAAATATTGAATAAAAGCAAAGGAGTAGAGGTTTTGCTCACAAGGTCATCAGGAAACTGCACATCACAATTTCTGTTTAGCTCATAACTACAACTACTCTAAAACTAGCAATGACTGCCAAATTTACCTCAAAAAAGTACATTAGTCACATCTGTCTCCCTTTCCTAAATAAACCGTAGAACATTTATTAGTTCTAAATTATCCACTCTCACATCTTACTTATTATAGCCAAATGTCAATGAAAAATCTTAGTTTTTTATTGTATCTTTTTAAAATATATCTTTTAAAAAGCATACCAATTTTATATTTTATAAATATATCTTTTTAAAAACATACTGATTTTACTTTGATAATTCATACTAATCTTTCAAAATTTTACCTCTCTTAAAAAGTAAATCTCTCTCTCTACCTTTAAATACTTGAAACAACCACGAATATGTGAAGAAATGTGTAATTCATAAAGAAATGTGATTTGATAAAAGAAATAGATTTGATCACAGGTAGTAAAAGAAAAATACAGCAATATAAATAAATAGGCTATGGTACTCAAAGGTAAAAGAAAAATAACATGAGAACATCTATGGCAAGTATGACCATACCAGTGATAGATAAGAAAGTTATCCTTTTCATGGAAAAAAAAAATCCAAAAGTGAGATGACATAAATTGAAAAAAAAAATATTTTTAAGAGAGGAGGGCAGGAAGTAACAAAATAAAACCGTAAATATTTTTAGCTTTAATTTAATTAAAGTGTTGTTATGTTTTTGATATTTCTATCCCAAATACGTTCCTCAAAAGTTTCCTTAACAAAAACAATTAGAAAAATATAAGGCATACAGAGAAATTTTACTTTTTACTTGTTAAAAACGAAGTCTACTGAACTAGAAAGTGAGAATACCAAATTTAAATTAAATTTGATTTCTTTGAAGGTACTGAACACTTCAAAGCCTGTGTTTTTATGTTACAACATCCATTGCAAACTCTTCAAAAATCCATTAAAAGAAAATATAGAGACATGATAATTGAATGAAAAACTGATTTCTAGATGCCCATTGTTGTTTTTGTCAAGTTCTGTTTTTAATTAAAGTGAATAAGGAGTGAAATTCAATCTATTTATGCCTATTAAGATCGGTCAGAATGACAAGAATAAAGAATCTATAAATTTGCATCCTGAGAACCAAAGTTCCTATTAAGGAAAGACTCTGAAACTCCTTTCCTTTCTGAGCTAATGGTTATTAACTTTTAAATAATAAAATCTCTTCAGTGAGGTTTGATCTTTGAGAAGATTGTTTTCCTCAGTTATAAATTATGAATTTGATCATTCTGCCTAAACATTTAGAAACTTTATTTCAATTTTTATTGTAAATTATTTTATAAATTTAAAAAGCCCTTTAGAGAATGTTTAAAGAAAAATATTTTTCAGGGTAATTTTCCTTTGTAGGCAACATGCACCATTTTTAGAGGTTTATTCTGATAAATTTCACCACAATCTCAATTATTCAAAATTTTTACTCCTCCCAATGGATTTTTTCATCCTCAGTATTCATCCACTGAGATTTTTTTTAGCTTTTTAATGAAAAATATTTTAAGGATATATTTCCCCTTAGTAGAAATCTAAAAATCAGAAGTTTAATACTTCTAAAAGATGGTCTACAGTTAACTATTTTTGCAAAGTTGGAGTCTTTCCTAGAATAAATGTTTTTTACAAAATTTTAATTACAAAATATAATTTTACCAAAAAAATTACATCATACAAGCATACTTCCACCTTGAAATAAAAGCCCCTAAAGGCCCAGGACTTCAGAATGCATACAACCAAAAAGGTTAGCTAGATAAATCATACGTTTAAGAACATACAAGCCAACAGAAGGGATCTATGAAGGATAATCACCTTAAGAGAAAAAACTTTGTGCAGATGACACTGGTTCAAATGCATTCCCTTGGGGAAAAAAAATCAACTCTGTAAAGATAGCAGATGGATTTGTTTAAATAGTAATAAAATTAACGAGGGACTTTAATAACCATCACAAATTATCAAGCATGCAACCATACTACAACAAATGGCATTTTTTTTTGCCCATACAGCATGTTTGCCAGACACTGACAGATGGAAATTTCAAGCTTTTTAAATTCATAGGAATTTCGATCTAGCAATATAACATAATGTGGGAGAAAATAGTTTTTACTTTCAGTTCAGCAAGAAAGTCAAAGAGCTTCCAAGGGCTTACCACTGGTGGATCAACAGGTGCTGGTGGTTGTACTTGTAGGTTTACCGCAACAGTCTGTGGAGGAGGAAGAGTCTGAAATGGCAACTGGACCAAAGCTTCTGCAGCTGGAAGCTCCTCTTCTGACACCAAAGCATTCTGCACCAAAACCTGGCCCTGAGATAGAATTTCAGGCTGCACTTGTAAAGACTGCATAGACTGCAAGGGCAGTGGTGGAATCTGAGCTGGAGGAGATGTCGACATCTGCGGAGGGGTGGCAATTGGGATTGGAGAGGACTGCAGGGTTGAATATTGCTGGTGTGATGTTGGAGATACAATCTGCTGGCCTGGGGACACTAAGGTGGACTGCTGAACCGGGCCAATGTGTACAACAGGGGAAGCAGGAAGTGGAAGATGCGATGGAAGATTCAGCTGTGCTGTAGGTTGCACCTGATTACCAGTGGACTGCTGCAAGTTTGGCCCTGGCTGGAGAGCTGATGACACGAGAGGGTGTGGCTGAATAAGTGCTTGTGGATGAATAATTATAGTAGGAGACTGACTTGGTGAATGAGGTGGTGGAGGAGACACCACCACAGACTGCTGTGCTGACTGTGATTGGCTAGGAGACACTGTTAAAGGAGGGGGATGACTCTGAATTGGTGAGCAATGCTGTGACTGGGCATTACTGGGAGCTGGAGGAAGGCCATGGTTTTGGAGTGGTATACAGTGCTGGGATGGTGGTGGGTCTTGGGTTGGATTTTGAAGTGTGATTGGCTGAATTTGCTGTTGCTGCTGTTGCAATATCAGCTGATGATGGGAAACCTTGGGAGGTGGTGAATGAAGAGGAATCTGCTGATGTTTTATTAGAGGATGAGGCTGAATTGGTGGATATGAAGCTGTGAGAGAAAAAAATGACAATTAGTATTTATTTTAAAAATGTCATAGAAAGTCTTAAATAAATCTAAAGGAGGAAAGTTTTCATATCAGAAGGTCATAATCATCAGAAATCTATTACAAATCTTCCAGACAAGAGTGTCTTGAAAATGTAATGATGAAACCTTTTCCTTAGAAAATTATAAAGATTTCATAAAATAAGCTGTACTGTAATAAGTTCCAAAAGAGAACTGCCTAAAACAATTGATTCATCAATCTGAATCTACACATGATTTACTCTTATTAAATTTTAGAGGTCACCAGAATATCTAAATTAACTTTTAACAAAGTTTATCCACTTGAATTCCTTCTTTGGGGAGAAGAGGGGAAGTATCACTGAACAAGTATAATCTATATAAATATAACTTCAAAATAATAAAAATACAATATTAAAACTCATAAAATAAAGGTCTCATCCTTTCTAATCTACGTCTAAACATTCTTCCAACTAATAGTCAATGTAATTACTTTTGAAGCTTCCCAAATAAGTTTCCAAATTTGAGCCAAGATGAAGAGTTGGTATTATTTGACCCAGAAAGAGAAAAATGTTTTGTACAAAAAGTTAATTCAGTTAAGCAAAACACATGTGTGAATTCTACAGCACAGTTAAATAATCACTGTAACTAAGAAATGAAATTTCAGGAGCCATTCCAAATCCAGGAGAGCACTAGTTTTGCTTGCACAGAGAATTAGGCAATCAGAAGTCTACACTGTCAGGGGCCGGCCCCGTGGCTTGGAGGTTAAGTGCGCGCGCTCCGCTGCTGGCGGCCCGGGTTCGGATCCTGGGCGAGCACCGACGCACCGCTTCTCCGGCCATGCTGAGGCCGCGTCCCACATGCAGCAACTAGAATGGATGTGCAACTACGACATACAACTATCTACTGGGGCTTTGGGGGAAAGATAAATAAATAAAGTCTTTAAAAAAAAAAAAAAAGTCTACACTGTCTAAACAAAGGATCTTGCTTTACTTCTTTCCTCCCCACAAAAAAAAACCCTACAGTAATCTATAAGTGATAGTATTCAGTTTTCTCCAGAGAGAAGCCACTCACAACAGGGAATAATATATATAAGAATTAGCAAAATCAAGTAGTAAGTAGTTTCCCCATCATGATGCCTCTTCTGTGTACTGGTGCATAGGTTTACACAGAGGGAGATGCTGGTGAAATCCTCTCTATCTAAATAAGAATGGAAACTGGGCTCACTAGAAGATGAACTGAAAAGATTGCTTAATATTAATATCATGTAAAAATTATATACATTTAAAACAGATCTAAAGACAGGGCAAAAATTTTTCTTAATCTCAGAACGTTAAGATAAATATTATTATATCTTGCATCTGTTTTTATATTCAACCACATTTGTGACAAAGGCCTTATAAAAACTTTTAACAATTTTTTAAAACATTTTTGTATTTGGTTGGTTATTATTTTAAAATTTTGGAGAACCTTTAAGGAAATTAACATCTGATTAACATCTCAAGAAAGAGGCATTTAGAAGATTCAACAAATATCCATTAATTGTTAAAAAAAAAAAAAGGAAATTAGGTCTAAAATTTCATCTAACAAAATAATTTTCACATAACTAGAATAGCACTTCAAACTAAGACTGAAAATTTTATGTCAGCACTTTATAAATATGTTGCTAAAGACTCTATATAGGAGAGTATTCAATAAAATCTTGGATTTCTATCGAGTGCCTTCCAAAGGGCTCAAGGTGTTTTCACATCTCTCTCATTTGTACTCACAAAATGCGTGTAGTGTAGGTAGGTATTATTCTTCCCCTTTTATAGATAAAGAAATAAGAGTTTTTGTAGGCATAACAGCAAAGGCCCACTTTAATTCAATTTTTTTTTTAATTTAATTTTCCCCCTCAAAGCCCCAGTAGATAGTTGTATGTCATAGCTGCACATTCTTCTAGTTGCTGTATGTGGGACACGGCCTTAGCATGGCCGGAGAAGTGGTGCGTCGGTGCGCGCCCGGGATCCGAACCCAGGCTAGTAGCGGAGCGCGCGCACTTAACCGCTAAGCCATGGGGCCGGCCAATTTTTTAAGTTATAATTAAAATTTACCATATTCTTTTTTTTTTTTTTTTTTTTTTAAGATTTTATTTTATTTATTTTCCCCCCCAAAGCCCCAGTAGATAGTTGTATGTCATAGCTGCACATCCTTCTAGTTGCTGTATGTGGGACTCGGCCTCAGGATGGACGGAGAAGTGGTGCCTCGGTGCGCACCCGGGATCCGAACCCGGGCCACCAGCATCAGAGCGCGCGCACTTAACCACCAAGCCACGGGGCTGGCCCTAAAATTTACCATATTCTTGAAGTACAATGGATTTTATATTTACAAGAACAAAAATTCAAGTAAGCAATCTTTTTTTATATTCTAGAGCTGATAATTCAATAAATTAATAGTCTATCCTGTCACCCAGATTAAATTTTTCTTTGATCAGAAATCAAAGTGAGTCTATATATTTTATATTAGTCCATAAGTCCAAATGATAAGCACATATATTACAGAAATATCGTGAGGCTATCTGAAATAATACTTCTGTACAAGAAAAGCCCTAGTGCCCTGGAGAATCATATCATGTATGCTAATTTCTCTGCTTTTAATAAACATTTTATTATTGTCAAGGTGGCTTTATATTTGGAGAATTAATGATTGGCATCCTCTCTCACATATGTAGTAAAACTCTTTAATTACTGTAAATAATTAAATATATTATTATAAATTATTACATACATTATTTCATTCAATAGTTACAATAACCCCACGAGGTAGGCAGGGTACTATACTAATCCAATATATTACAGGTGAAGAAACTCGGAGTAGTTAACTGACTTGCCTGAAATCACCTGGTTATTAAGGGGCAGTTCTGGGTCTAAAAGAACCCATAGTCCTAGCTGAGTCTGGGTTCCTATTATGGAGGGAATGTTTGTGTCCCCAAAAATTCGAATGTTGAAGCCCTAACCCTTAATGTGACTGTATTTGGTAATGGGGCCTCTAAGGAAGTAATTAAGGTTAAATGAGGTCAGAAGGGTGGGGCCCTGACCCAAAAGGATTAGTGCCCTTATAAAAAGAGACACCAGAAAGCTCACTATCCTCTCTCTCAGCACTCAGATGAGAGGCCATGTGAGGACGCAGCAAGAAGGCAGCCATCTGCAAGCCAGGAAGAGAGCTCTCACCAAACACCAAACACTGCCAGACCTAATCTTGGGCTTTCCAGACTTAGGAACTGTGAGAAAATAAATTTCTGTTGTTTAAGCCACCCAGTCTATCGTATTTTTTTATGGCAGCCTGAGACAGATACAGGCTTTTCACTACACACTGAATTAATGTCTGCAAAAAATGGTATATATTTTTTCCAACTAAACTAATTTCATAAAAGCTTTAAAAACTGCTATAAAAAACCTGAGCTTTAATATAGTTCATGGTAATTTCCAGACATTTGGTTAAAATTTGCCTTTATTTTATATATTAAAAAGAGAACTACTGGGCCAGCCCCGTGGCTTAGCGGTTAAGTGCGTGCACTCCGTTGCTGGTGGCCCGGGTTCAGATCCTGGGCGAACACTGACGCACCGCTTCTCCGGCCATGCTGAGGCTGTGTCCCACATACAGCAACTAGAAGGATGTGCAACTATGACATACAACTATCTGCTGGGGCTTTGGGGAAAAAAAGGAGGAGGACTGGCAATAGACGTTAGCTCAGAGCCGGTCTTCCTCAGCAAAAAAAGAGGAGGATTGGCATGGATATTAGCTCAGGGCTGATCTTCCTCACAAAAAAAATTAAATTAAATTAAATTAAAAAATAGAACTATTAACTATCAAGTAGGAACTCTACCTTCAAGAAATGATGAAGAAAATCAAATGATTTAAGCACCCTAAAAATACATATAAGGAAACAATAATCATGTCCATTATAATAATTATTAGACTATCACTACATGAGAATATAAGTAACTTTTTTTATATTTGAAAGTGACTTATAGGAACAAGCATTTTTCTAACTGAGGAGAAGGAGAAATTACCAATTCAAGAATCTCCAAAAAAAATCTTAGCTTCAGGCTAACTTCCTACCAACAAGAGCAGAAAAACTAAAAAGGTCGAAAAATATAGCTGCTGCCTTGTCAGAAGATACAAATTGCTTTGACTAACTGCAGGGTAAGGCTTGAATGAATTTACAAGTTTGGTAGCTGCAAAGGTTTACGTGGCTTAGGGTCTTCCATTTGGTTTTGTTTCTAATCGATAACCCCGTGGAAAACTGGAGTTTGGTTCATACGCGTAAGACCTGAATTTGGAATTGCAATTGTCCTGAGGCTCTTTGATGGTTTTAGCTTACTAGTCTCCTCCACACCTACATAAAATATTGGCCATCAGAGGACAGCAACTCTAAGGATATTACAACACCGTCAATGAAAGGGGGAAGAATAAGTGTCAACCAGAACCAGGCATCGGGAGTCCAGGCGGACTGAAAATCTGAAAGTAGATCTCTTTGCTTGAACTAACCCTGAAAGACTTCCCAGCTTTCTCTGAAGGTAGCATTCTCCGCAGAAGGAAATTAACCTACTCTCCACTATAATCTATCAAAACTATAGGAATCACTATAAACTGTCCCCTGAGCAGTCATTCCAAGCACAGTGGGTCACTGCTGCTCCACACTGACTCCTATCAACACTGGCCAGAGGCTGGTTTGAGGCTGAGAATACTCTGGATAATACAGTACAAAAATCCTGTTATCAAGCCATAGAGAGAGCAGGATCTGGTGCACAGATGTTTATAAAAAAGAATTCACATCTAACTATACTATGAATGGATTTATTAACTTACACATTATAGGAAAGCGTGCACTTATCTAAGATTCAGATTTAATAATTCTAAGCAGTGATACCTAATTAATATAAATGGAAAATATTGCGCTATAACTTCCAAAATTCAAATGGAAAAAAAACTATTAATCCAACAAATATTTACTGTCTACCTATTGTAGATAAGTACACAGAAGGCACAGCTTAGTGCTGGCAAGACAAAAGGATGAAAAGGTGAACCTGAAAAAGGATTAAAAGAGTGAATAAATGTAAAGTACTTTACACATAAGTGCCTGATATTACTATCCTTCCCTCCAAGACCTTACTGTCTAGTACAAAAGCTAAGATCAATAAGTATATAGATAACTATAAAAGAAAAAGTACCACAAAGGAGCATAAAAATGCTACACAAGTTCAGAGTCATGAGAGATTTCTAACTAGGGGAATCAAACAATTCCAAGACTTAGAGATTGGGTGATGTAGAGAATCTTGGCAATATTAGCAGAGAGGAAACATGAAAAGAGAAATAGGTTTAGGTGGAGAAAAAGCAAACTTCAGTAGTGTAAAATGAATCTTTAAAAACTAATACAGCTATAAAAGGATAGAAGAGGAAGCTTCCCTGATGAGGGTGAATGAAAGGAGGAATTTTTTTTTTAATGAAACATGTGAGGTGTCTAGCCCAGTGCATGCCACACACACATACTTTCAATAAACAATAGTTAATACTGGTATAAAAACACATGCAGACATATTAGCAATAGGGGGGACCTAAGTATACCTGAGAAGCAAAGGGATGGATCCAGCAGGAGAGAGACAAAAGTGCTGTAATAACTACAAGAGAAGGTCAGGAGCCAGTAAAAAAAGATGCAATCAATGACACAAGCTAAAAGTGCTAACTTTAAAAAAGAAAGCACATGATTCCTTATCTCTTCAGAAGTGAAGAAAGCTCAACACTCAGAAATTCTGAGATGAACAGAAGAGGTAGTAAGGAAACTCACTCTGGATGGCCCCAACATTTTCAGCATGAGAACCACGAAGCAAGGTTATCTGTAGATAGCAGAGGGAGCACACATGGGATTCAAGGGTTGATGAGAATGAAAACGACTTAGTTGATTCCCTGACATCTTCCTCTCAGAGATGGAAAAAAAGCAACATGGTAAGGAAAATAATTATGCATAATCCTTATTTTTAGAAAGTGATAAATTCCTCCCACTAATGAGAACTTTAAACAAAAAATGTACTTGCTTTTTTAAAAAGCTTTTAATTTTGTTCCACTAAAGCATATTAAATAAACTACAGGCAAATATATGTTTTAAAACTAAAAGGTTTCGATATAATGGGAGATCAGCACACAATGAAGATGTTAATCAAATGTCAATTGACCAAAAAAATCTATTTTATTATTATAATTTGTTTTAGCTGTTAGGCTCTTTTGATTTCTCTTTTTTCAAGCTACAACATTAAGATGTTCTTTTTTTAACTTATGAAATTCACATTTAAAAATGTTTTTAAAGTATCATTCTTGTTCAAGTAATGGACATCTTTTATTCTGCTCTGCCTGCTAAGAAAATGAATAATGCAACTATTTTCAACAAAAGTTTTATCCCACCTGGTGCTATTAACTGGTGAATACTTGATGTCCGGGTGACAGCTGTGCTTCGTGATTCCAGACCTGGACTTTCTCCTTTCTTATTACTTTCTGGAGAAGGATCTCGTTGGCTGATTTTAGAACTGGTCACTGTTGTTTTGTTATGACAAATTGTCAACGACTGAGTTTGACTAGCACTTTTTGGCGGACCGTTCTGTGAGCTAGATAATACACCCAACTTCTGGCTGCGTAATGTTAAATTCTGAACCTAAGAACCACATAACAAAAAATAAGGATGAAACAGATGGTATTAATTGACGTGTTAATCATTATCATTATAACAACAATGACAACACAGTTATATTATGCTTTTCATACATAAAGCTCCAAGCACTTGAAACAACTGATTAATCCTGAAGGAAAGGGGAGTTATTATTCTAAGCAATGATATCTTAAAAATTAAGTTGCAATTTTTTAAAAAGACATTAAGGGAAAGAAAGACTCATTAAGAACTAAGCGAAAATAGAATATACATAGATTGCAAATGAACTATGAATATGAGGATATTACTCTGCAACATACTGCATTTTGAAGTTACCAGCTCCGAGACAGACAAAAGGGAGAAAGAGGAAGGGCATTCCAGGTAAAGGGGAAAACTTGAGCAAAGTTGCAGAGGTGGGAGGGCCCAGGGTGTGTAGGGAAGAATGAGCAATTCCTTCAACTTCACTCTGACTTCTCCACGCCAGGAGATTGTAAAACATTTTAAGGTTACTTACAAGTACCTCATAAACTTGTGAGAAGCTACCACATACAATTAGGAGAGCGTGGATAAAATATTGCTGTCTTAATAAAGATCAGAAAGAGAGAAGAGCAACAAAAAGTTACCAACTCTATAGAGATTATAAGGGAACACTAATCTTCTAAGAAAACTAATTCATCAAATCACCCACACCATTGTGATAATTGTGAAAAGCATTTCCCATTAACTCCCTTTTTTAAGTTAGCTGGATTTTGTTGTTGTGTTGTTGTTATGGAATACTCACTTGCCTTTGAGAACTAGATCTCAGGAACTGAAAAGATTGTGCATGGCCTTGAAATCGTTTATGTGATGGCTCCTGTTTACATCCGGGGCTATTCTAAACACACTGCAAGTCTGGATGGTGGCAAGCATCATCCCAATTACTCTCACCTGAAGGTTATAACATTTCCAAACAGCAAGGCAGAAAATGCCGCTCTAACAGCTGCCAAAATTTTGCCTATCGGGAATGAATGCACCAAATACATTTATGCTAGCACTGGCCCTCGGAGGGAAACTGAAGTAAAAGAGATTCTAAACTGACAAAGCAAATGATATATTGCTGCTTTATAAATGTTCTTTATAAAGGTTCATGTGTGTTTTGTCTCTACAACTATATCATTAACTGATGCTCAAAGGCTATACCTTCTCTTTCTAAGGGCCAAATGCAGTATTCAGTCAATAGCGAGTGCTAAATAAATGTTTACTTCAGAGCAGTCGAGGTTTTAATCAGCTCTATTCTAAGCTACCGAAAGAATTTTCTAAGTGAGACCATATGGAGTGTCTTTTCTGATTTTTGTCAAATATTTCATAGGAATATAAGTGGACTAATAAGTGCTGTATCATTGAAATGTAATGCAAAAAGAAAATATGATAAAATCCAGATTTCTCAGCTTGCCACTCAGCCCTGAGTCTAGGCCCAAACCACTTTGAGCCCCATTTCCCACTACTCCAGTCCCAATACTCATATTCTAGCCAAACTGTTCTCCTTAGCCTTTCTCCAAACATACCTTCCTTCACTTAGAGCCCTTGCTCAAGTTACTCTTGCCTAAAATGCCATTCTTTCCCAACGCTGACTCCTGAAGCCCAACCCATTCTTCAAGGCCCAGTAAAAATCCCATTCACTCTCCCAAAGAAACCTCCCCAAAGTCCCTGGTTAGAAATAATTTCTCCTCCCCTCTATAATGCTTTTCCCATAGAATTTAGATCATATTGGCCTATAGCACTGACAAACGTCTAGCTTAGTTTAGAATTACTAATGTCTGTCTGTGAAATACTGAGACTGGCTGGCAAGCTCTCATCTGACATTCCTTTTTGTACTCCCTGCAGTTCAGTGCTGCAGACATAACAGAAACTCCACAAGTCTGAAGTATTCTCCTATATCTGATTCTGAAATATACCTTACATGGCTTTTTTGTTGTTGTTAAGTATTTAGTTCTATTTACAGTTTTCTTAGGCTAACATTAAAATCTGTTCATATTTAACCAAAAAAATCTCAACAAACATCTAATATCTTAAAATCTCTCAGGAAGCAAGGGAAAAAACAGCATAAAATTTAACTGCCATAAATGATCTATAAAGTAGACCACAATAATAATAACCAAAGGCTGAACTACAGTCTGAAACACTTGAAAACTTTCCTTCAAATGAAAAGCATATTCACAATAAATGAAGATTTGACACAATAAACCCTAAAACCTGCAGCAGTGCATTTCTATAGAATATTTTTTTTTCTAATTTTCCTTTTGTTTTCTGGAATTCTGAAAGAAATTGCATGTGTGTGCATATAATATATACTATATATTATTTATATGAATAGATAAAGTTTAGAATATGGCTATAATATCTACGGGCATCTTGGCTTAAACATTTATAATCAATTTCAAACATGTAAACTACACTCCTAAAGTATATTACAAAGTTAATTTATCTGTTACTAGAAAGATCGCATATTTGGTTTTCTTTGACAGAGTTTCACTTCTCAGGAGAACCCACCCTTTCTAACACAAAGAATGTTAGGGCACTCTAATGTCCAACTTTCATTTCACTCAACTTTTCCTATGATCAAATTATGGAAACTTTCTGACTTTTGAAAAAGTCTAGGTCTCATATGAAATATTTTTGCTAATTTCGCACCTTACATTTTTTATTATAGTGGATTACCCAAATACTCTCACATCAATTATTTAATTTGGATCTAACAAATACTGTATGAATTATATCATAGCATCCCTTCTTTGCAGATCAAGAAACTACGAGTTAACGTCACATTGTTGGCAGCAGAGCTGAGTTTCTAGCTTTTAAATCCAAAGCACTGTTTTCTCCTCAATTCTAACAGCATTTCCTAGATAGCCTTGACAAGTAAGATTTCTTACTTTTCTATAAACATACTTTTAGTCCTATGACATCTTTCTGAAACTCAGATTTTTTTTTTTGTTTTTTGCATGGTGGGGAGAAAGGATACAGCATTTAAAACAGTAAATAAGGGTAAGATATTCCAAATATCTCATTTTTGACAGTATGCTATAAATAAATTTTAATACTAAGGAAAAATTAACTGTTATACTGACATCTGTCACTTAAGGAGTATTAAAATAAAATTTCAAATTTGGTATTTCTGAATTACAAAAAAAAACTGGTTTAAAAGCTGCAAATATAAGTTTAAAAGTTAAAAAAGTAGAGCACAGATTTTTCAAACCAACAGCCTTGAACTCAAGGAAAGCTATCACTGGAATATTCAAAATATTAGCATCACCTAATCCTCAATCACTGCCATTTCAAAAGAACAGCAAAGAAAAACATTTGTAGAGAAATTCCAAAAGGTCAATCCACCCCTCTTGTTCCTCACAGTCCATCCTTGAATTAAGTCAGATTATCACAGAGCCACATACCTGTATCACAGCAAACTGGACCTCAAAGAGCCACTTTTATAAGTTACTTTGACTATGCTCACATTAAAGATGTCATTAAAGACACTGTAAGATGTTTTCTCCATGAGAATCCACAAGGCAGATTGTGCTCTACAGAGCATGTTAGTTGTATTTTCCTAACAACTTGTTTATTTTACCTTGAAAACTGCAAATCCTTTAAATGGTGTTTCTTTCTTCACCATTAGCTAGGTGAAAGCTAAGAACCAAATTCAAGACTTGTCTTTAGACAATGTATAACAAAAACAGTAATTAGTGGCATGTGATATCTTATGTGCTAGGCACTACGCTAAGTACTTTATGATTATTGTTTCATTTATTCCTTAATAACAACTCTGAGCTATTAATTCCCGTTTATAGTGAAGAAACTGAGGCTTAGCATAGGTAATAATAATAACAGTTAACATTTAGTGAGTGCTATGTTTCAGACACTGTTCTTTTTCATTTAACGTATTTAATCCTCACTACAACTCTATGAAGCATTTTAATTACTTTGTTTTTTTATTTTATATTGTTGAAACTGAGGCAAGACCTAAAGATATACAATGAGAAAGTCGTAAAGCATGTATTTGAACCCAGAGAGTCTGGATCCAGAGTCCAAACTTATAAACACTATGCTATACTACGACCTTCTCTAAAATTAATCAACTGGCAAGTGACAAGGCTGGCAATTGTTGTTGCTGAAGTCAGAATCTGAACGCAGGTCTTCCTATTCCCCTCTTTGCAAAAAAAGTACTAATGAGTGCCTATAATGTTCTAGACACTAAACATACACATTACTCATTCTTCAACTTAGGCTACAAGTATCTATGACTATTAAAGATGTTTGGTAACTTGTCTAAAACCATACAACTAAGAAGGTCCATGCACGATCTCATGCATCTAATCTGAATAGCAACCTCACTCCTAGCTCCATGCCACTTTCCTATTCTTATTTGTGCTTTTTTCTTGCATCTTTCAATTTATTTTATCTTGTTTTATTGTATGCATCTTGTAAATGAATCAAAATCTTAGTTGGAACAAAGTCAAGTATATATAAAAAATAAAATTTAAAATATTCTGGAAGTTGATAATGGTCTAGCTCTATTAAGTTTAATAAAACCAAAACAAAACAGAAAGATCATTAATTCAACAAATTCATTCCACAAAGAGACATTATAAAAATTTAGAGCTGAAAGAACCTTAAAGTTAACAAAGACAAAGGTCTCATTTTATAAATACAGAAACCAATGTCCAAAAAAGTTAATGAATTGTGGAGGGCCACAGAACACATTAGGAGAAAACTGAGTTTAACTGATCACCATCTTTGTGTGCTGATTTTGAAAACTGGCCTTTATTACTAAATAAAATAATATATTAAGAGATTCCATGCAAAGTACCAAAGAATATTACTATCTCATTTTTTACGTTTTACCAGGAGATTCAGATTATTAAATTAAAAACAGGAAGCCAAGGATGACCTAGGATATACCAATTTCTGCCATATGTAGTCTAAAACATTTACTATGGAAAAATACCAAAATGGTATCATATAAAGTAATATCCTACTCAATTATTTTAATTTAAAATTTACTCTATTTTTATCAACTTTACTGAGATGTAACTGACATATAATAAAATGAATGAACTAGTTCAATAAATTTTGACATACGCATATACCATGTTACCACGACCCCAATCAAGATATAGAACATTTCCATCACCCAAAAAGTTCACTCATGCCCCTTCCCAGTCAATCTCCCCCACCTTCTGCCCCAGGTACCACCAATCCGATTTTTTTCACTATAGCTTAGTTTTGGCTGTTCTGAAATTTCACATATATGGAATCAGAGTATGTACTCTCTCGTGTCTGGCTTCTTTTGCTAATTATAATGTTTCTGAGATGTGTCAGTAGTTTGTTCTTTTTTATTTTTAAGTAATATTCCACAATTTGTTTATCCATTCACCAGTTAAAGGACACTGGTTATTTAGTCTGGGGCTATTCTGAATAGAGCTGCTACGAACATTCATTTATACATCTTTATGTTAGATATATGTTTTCAGATCTCTCAGGGTAAACATCTAGAAGTGGAATTGCTGGGTCACTTGTTAAGCATATGTTCAACTTTATAAGGAACTGACAAACTGTTTTCCAAAGCGGTTTTACCATTTTACACTCTCACCAGCAATGTACAAGAGTATGGTTGCTCTACCTTCTTGCTAACATGTGGTATTATCAGTCCCTTCATTTCAGCCATTCTAGCAAGTGTGTAGTGATATTCATTGTGGTTTTGATTTGCATTTCTATAGTGATTAACGACGTTGAGCTTTTTTTCATGTGCTTATTGGCCTTTAGTATATCTTCTTTTGTGAAGTGTTCAAATCTTTTGCCTATTTTTAATTGAATTGCTAACCACCTTATTGAGTTGTAAGCACACTTTATGTATTCTGGATACAACTCCTTTGTCAGATATATGTATTGTGCACATCTTCCCTCAGTCTGTGGCTTGCCTCTTCATTTTTGTAACAACATCACTGAAGAATAGTTTTTAATTTCGATTAAGTCCAATGTGTCATTATTTTCTTTTATGGTTAGTGCTTTTTGTGTCCTAAGAAGGTTTTGCCTACTCTAGAGTTGTAAAGACAGTCCCTATGTTTTCTTCTAGAGGTTTTATAGTTTTGGCTTTTACCTTTAGGTCTACATGCTACTTCTAGTTTATTTTTGTGAATGGTGTGATGAGAAAGTTAAGGTTCATTTTTTCCATAGTACCAAACAAAGTAATATTCTATTCAATTTTTTAAATTTAAAATTTACCCAATTTAATTCATTTTTAAACTTAAAATCCATCTTGACTTAGTTATCACGTAACTGCTTGCAAAGGAATCTACACAAAAGAATACATCTCACATAATAAAAGAAATAAATCTGCTTTACAATAAAACTAAACATATAATGTCACAGCAAAAATTCATTAACTTTTACTGATGTCAGATAACCTAAATATCTGTTTAATGGTATTATAATTTCTATAGAACAAAAAAACTTTCTTGAAGTTCTCACTGTATTTTATTAAATTTCAATCTGAAATGTATGGCAAAGAGCACTGAAACCATCAGTAACTTAAACACAAATGTATGTTTATCTTTAACCCGGAGATCCAGACCTCAAGTACCACATTATGAAGCTAGACAAGCTCACCTGAGTAGCTGCAGACTGACAGGAAGATGACGATGACGACGAGACAACAGGAATGTCAGACTGTACAGCAGCCACAGTGGTAGCGGGTGTGAAAATCAGCTGTACAGACAGAAAAACCAAAAAAATACCCTAAGACAAAAGAACATGTCCCACACAAAATGTATAGCGGCAAGAGACTGAAATTTGTGACAGAAAGACAATGCAGTTTAGGATTGTCTCCTAAGCAAAAGGTTTTACATGACAAAGAGAAGTTTCTGATAAGAGAGAGCTCAAAAAAAAAATCATAAACATTTTTGAAATAGCTCATGATTTTGATGAGTAGAAAAATAAATTAGTGCTCAAAAAAGAAAATGTATTTTGGTAATATGAAATCCTCATACCAAATTTTGCCCCAAATAAGCTATTATACTTAAACTTTTCCCAGCTCAAAACTATTGTGACAGGATTCCTAAAATGGAAGTTATAATAGACAACCATAGTCACTACTCTTGAATACAAATTAAATTTCAGTGAGAAACACGAAAAGAAACACCAAAGAGTCTTTTCAATCCTCTTTACCACAAAGGATTAACTATGCCACATACTACACTATAATATTTCACTCAGTCACCAAGGATCTACAGTGCAAACCTAGGTTGCTCTTGTTTTTAAAACTATTTGTAAAGAAATACTCATTCTAAATGTAAACGCCACAAGTCAAAATTCAGCAACAAAACAGCTTGCAAAAGAGCTTCACATCAAAAAAAATAAAGATAATTTATTTACTTATCACCTCTTTTCAAAATTTTTTTCAATATTGAAACAGAATGCCATTTAATTTAAAAAGGCAGTACAATCCACTCAGAAATTATCCAGTCCAATTTAGTAAATTATGACAGTTGTTTCCAAGAATGTATAAATGCTCTACTTCAAAATTGCATCAAGAGTTATTCAGTTCCTCAAAAACCATTCCTGTTTAAAATGACCAATTAAGCAATCTTTTTGATTGCTTCAGTTCTTTATATACTAAATTTAAGTGAACTAAACAACAAAGTATAACTTTCACAAGAAAGTAATTTCCAGTACAAACAGCTGAAAGCACTAAACCTAAAGAGAAGATGTTCTGTCTAGCTGGAACCATATGAAACTGCCAGTTTTAGAAGTGAAAAATGATTAAATAGCAACCATTTCAAATGGCTCAGCCTAATTTTGAAGAATATTATTAATTAAATAAGATTTCATGGGGAAAATAACCCCAGAAATATGTTAATTACTACTGAATAATCTGTTAAAAAAAAAAAAAGGTGGGTCATGTCATTGTTTCCTATTAGAAATATGATGGGAAACTTTCTGTGTAATTTTAGCGGGGATCCAGATATATATTCAGTTCATTGGACAAAAAAGAATATAAATAAATATCTGTTAGGCCCAAAGCTCTTGTCTAGCTACCTGTAAAGACATGAAATAAAGTAAATGTCAACCAATTTCTACAATCCTTAAAAAAGCTCAAAAGTTAAATTAGGAAATCAGTAGGTACTCAAACACAGAACAGACAAATTAACATTCTTATTTTAACAAAAGATCAAAGTGAGCAAAGAACACAAATCACCTTACAGAATTTGAGATGAGAATAACCAAAGCTAAGAATCATCTGGTAAATTACTAGGAACTCCAACCCAGATTTCAGAAGATCCCACAATATAAATTCTAACTTATAGTTAATAACCAAGTTTTTAACATTTCCAACTATTTCATCAAATCTAAGATGTCAAAGATATACAATGATTTTATGTATCACTATAAGAACCAATTATGACTGTAAGATACCATCAATTATAAAATGTTATCTCAGTTTCAGAGATGTTAAAATGTGAAAAAAGGTGTGAAATCAATGAAATTTGATATTAAAAAATAATCACTCCTATGTTACAGAATGTTAGCTTCCCAAAGTTGCTAATTACTATTCATTACAATGGTGCTAATTACACCAAGAAGGCCTACCAATTAAAAGTAGAATTTTTCATGACATAAATGTACAAGAGCTAAGCACACACACACACACACACACAAAAATTGTTAAACGTTCCTTAAATATTAAAAATGCCTCAATGCATCAAATCAAGAAACATTTTGATTTCTCTCAAGTCCTTAAACACTGAAAGAATTTGGTTGCTCATATCTTACCATTTGAGCTCGGAGATACATTTGAGCTTGGCTTGCCGTTAGGGTAGGGGAGGTACTCCCTAGTAACATAGTCTGTTGGGTAATACTGCCGCTGGTAGAACTGGAAGCCTGGGAACGGCTTATTAACTGTGCAGGTGTAGGAGAAGTGGAGAGGTTGATCTAAGGAAGAAAACATATTAGGTCATAGGCTTCCATTTCTTGCTTCCATGTCACTGAATTTCACTAAGCTGCAGTTAGGCAATCAATAGTAGTACAAACTGTGGCTAAGGAATCTAAAAGAGAGGGCTTCCTCTTTGACAGACACACCCTCTCACTTCTTTGGGTAATTATTTGCACATATGCAAACAATAGCATGTACTAGTTAGTAATTACGACAATTTTTAAGGGTATCTTCAATGTGTTTCAATAGGATTCCAGTATCTTAAAGTATCACTTCCACTACCTCCCAAAAATTAGGGCTAAGGTCCATTATTTTAATATTATGAATAATAACTTAAAACATTCAAATCAAACATTCAAATTGTTTACAAGATTTTGTTGGATTCTGTCACGTTCTGAGGGGTTTCTGAAGTGAACAAAAACTAACACACAGATAATCCATTCACATATATAAAAACATACATGTAACATATAATTAGTATAACATTCTCCCTCAAAAACTCTCAGAGAAGAAGAAAAAAGTACAATTGCTACTTGTCAAACAGATGGGAAAATCCTGAATACTGGTTACAAAATTAAATTATAAACACTACTTTAAAGTTAAAACTGCTGTTAAAGAATAAACTAGTGTAGTCTTAGGATACATAAGGGACTGGTAACTATCTGTGAAAGCAAACTGGGTGGGGCAGGTAAGGAACAGGGAAAAGGGAGTCTTGTATACCCTTTTTTATCTTTCCAATTTCATACCACACATATGCATTATTTCCATCATTTTAAAAATAAATATTTTTAACAAGAGTAATATAATCCGACCTCACATCCTTTTTGTGGACAAAGCAGAGAATAAAATTAAGAAGTAAGAAATAAAGAAATAGTTTATTAGACTTTTGATTCAAGCAACAAGGCAGACTGGACTAATACATCCATGTGCCCAAATACACTCACTGAAATGCTAGATCGACATGAAAAATGAGAATATATAGCCAAACTCAAAAAAGGGGATAGGAGAGGGAAATTCCCAGGTGCCAGAGGAAGAAACTCAGAGACGTAAGCTCCAGTGACACTAAGGCACTCTGGAGAAATACCGGCCTACAGAGGTAGAAGAGCTGATTTTGAGCCTATTTCAGGGGAGCGCTGGAAGTAAAGCCCTATTTTGAACCAAGATCCTCAAAACGGCTGCTCAATATGCGAAAAGGGAGCTGGAAAAGCTCCACTCCTGTGCCCTGAGAAGCAGCAAGGAAGCTTGCCATCTGCCCTGCTCCCAGGGGAGGGAGAGAGGCTCCTCCGAGAATCAAAACTCCAGGCTTGTGCCATGTGGGCGTGCAGAATCCAAATTTACACTACTTGCAGTTCCACAATCCATCCCAAAACATTAGCATTTGCACTCATCCAGGACATTTGTTAAACTGAACAAGTGACTGGAGGAAGCCAAGTGAAGGCTATACAAGAGGACCTCTCCGTACTATTTTTGTAACTTCCTGTGAATCTATAATTGTTTAAAAATAAAGTTAAAAAAACTGTATAGTGGCTATACAAGAGTTGGTTAACTAATTCTTTAAATTTTTCTGTATCTTTTAAGTATTTCTTAATTTTAATAAAATACTTAAATCTGTAATTCAGTGCATAAGTACAGTTAATATAATACACAAAATTATTCTGCAATCTGACTTTTACTCCCAGCACACCACTAAAATCCCATTAGCAATAATCACCAATGCCCTCTATCTGACAAATTCAGTGAATTCTTTTCAGACCATTCCCTCTCAATCTTCTTTACCAGCTCTTCTTTCTGGTCTACCCCAAAACGTTCATGTCTTGTCCTCAACACTTTCTTCTTGAATTCCTAGATTATTACATCTACTCTCACAGTTTCAAACAACTCAATCCTAATGACTCTCAATCCTTGATGATAAACTCTTATTCTGAGCTTCAGATCCAAACAAAAGATCCTACAACACATCTTTCTGGATGTCTCTTACCAACTCAAACCCAACATGTTCAAACACCAAACTCATTATTCTTGCTTTTTAAACCAGCTTCTCTTCAAATGGCCACTGGCAACTTCTAAAAGCCCCCAAAACAAATTATCTAGGAGTCTTCCTGATTCTTCCCTCTCCTTTACCACACATACAAAATCAGTCAACCTTATTATTTCTACACCTTTATTCTCCTCATTTTCATTTTGATTTTTAATCCCTTAGCTTGAGAGTTTAGGCCCATGGAACTTCCAGCTAGTTCACTTCAGCAGCTGCAAATTGATCTTCCTGCCTGGAATCATGTTTCCTCCTACTTGCCAGATAATCTCTCCCTGACTTTACTAATATTAATTAACCATTTAAAAATCTTCTGGATAATGTTCAATCAACCTCCCCTGATTACCTGTCTAGCATCATCTCCTCCCACTCCTCCATACACATCCTTCACATTAGCAATATGAAGCTAACTGCAATGTCATGATGCCTCAGGCCTCTATGGCCCTGGTAATGATGCTCTGGACTGAACTGAGCATCTATCCCCCCACTCCACCCATCCCCGCCTATATAGTGAACAATTCCCTGTCAAAAATCATCTGCTCTAATAAGCTTTTTCAGGCATCTCTAGATCCCATATAACTGACTACTCCCCCTCCTTTTTGCCTGTTATCTTCCATATACTTCTAGCATATACTTCTATCTCACTCTTCCAAACAACAATTTAAGGAGGGGATCATGTGTTATTCATCTTCATATATCCAGTATCTATGAAAGTGTCTTCAACCAATAAGTTAAGTTAATGAATGTCATGTTATTTTAAGGCATACTTCATAGTTTTAATGTAATATATAAACCCATCACAGAGAGCATGAGTGTGTATGTATTAGAGAGAGAAAAAAAACAATTTTGGTAGAGCCTCTAACAAAGCAGAGTAAAAATGCAGAGATAGTGTGGTGATATTAGTTCAATTCTATTTTTGATGTGCTATATAATAAATTATTAATAAGCCTCCCCAAAACTTATTCTTTTTCTACACTACTCTACAAATGGACAATTTGGATAAAGCCTTGATGCAAAGGTTAAATCACTTAGCAGGGTAAAACTGGACCCATGGATTTTGGCATTCAAGGTGCTTTCCTACACCCCGATAGCTTGCTAATTTGGCTCACTCTGCAATAATAATGCCTTGGCACTTTTTTTCAGTTGGTGATTCTTAAAAAAAAGAAAGAAAGAAAGAAAGGTACTTTAGTAAGGATAGACCACACACTCTTTAAACAAAAACATAATAAAAGTCTTTTTAAAAAAATGATTGGCTGACAGCTAAAATGCCTGAGAGTGCTCTTTAAGGAAGTAGAACAGGAAGTACAAACTGAATGCTTTTCTTTTTCTTAAAAAAGAAAATAAGGAAGAAAAGTAAATAGTAACTTCCTACCCACCTGCATTCCACTTTGTCTAAACTGTGAGATCAAAGAACAAATATCATGTTTATTTTTAAGTTCCATACAGCAAGTGACATTTCAGGCTACTACTAATGAATGCCCAACCCATGAGGGTAAGTAGGTCAGCAGCCATCTCTGCAAGAAGTCCATCACCACAGCCAGCCCAACTAAAAACGTCCCTTCTTTTCCACAGCTGATAAGACTTTTTTCTATTTTTCTGCTTTGCTCTGACCTGAACCAGATGCCCTTAATTGTTTCCATTATTTTCTCTGTCAATTCCATCCCAACACCCCTAATTCCCTTTCACTTTAAAGCCCTGGTCAATCCTGTCACCTCATACCTCAAGCCCCACACTCCATAAAGGAACTCACTCCTTGAGCCCTATTACGGGAAGCTCTCTCCCCATTGGCACTAATTCCAAGAGTCAGTAGAGAAAAGCAAGTCTGCCTAGAAAAGCCACTTAACTCCCAACCACCTGTTGGTGCCTCGAAAAGGAGGTTACACAAGGTCTCTGGCCCAGAGTACTCCCTAGAGTCAAAGCCCATTCGCTGCCATTTGACTGATCAGAATCCAGCAGGTATATCCTCAGAGAGACATAGTCCACAGCAATTAAAAGAAAGATGGATACTTGTATTCCAAGGCATGAAAATATCTTTATGACCCACTGGTGAGTGAAAAAACTGCAGAATAACATGTTCAGTACAATCCCACATGTGTAACTGCATACAAATGTCTGTGTGCATGTACAGTCAGCCCTCCATATCTGCAGGTTCCACATGTGCAGATTCAACCAACCTCGGATCAAAAGGCCTATGATGGTTGCATCTATACTGAACATGTACAGACTTTTTTCTTGTCATTATTCTCCAAACACAGTGTCACAACTATTTACATAGCACTTACATTGTATTAGGTCTGGTTAGTAATCTAGAGATGATTTAAAGTATATGGGAGGATGTGCATAGGTTATATGCAAAAGACTATGTCATTTTATATAAGGGACTTGAGCATCTGAGGATTTTGGTATCTGCGGGGGTCCTGGAACCAATCCCCCATGGATACTGAGGGATGACTGTATGTATACATATCACACATGTGAAAAACATGTTAAGAAAAAAGTGACTGCACTGTATATACATACAATAATGCATACTCATAAACCTGTATATAATTAGATTTCATATAGATACACACACACACATACCCCCCTGGAACAACAGTCACCAAAATGTTAAAGGTGAATAATGCCTACTAGGGGTAAAATTTGCAATGATTTATATTTTCCTTTTCAAATTTCTTGTCTTTTCTAAGTAGGTATTAACTTTAGAGTCAGAGAGGAAATGCTATTTTCCTTTTTTTTTAATGTTTACTTTAGCATATCGTTTTTATCACTTTAAAGCAACATATAAATTCCTGCCTCATTACTCAGTAGGAATTTGTATGCGAGTAATTCAAACATCTAGGAGTGTAGAATACTACACAGAAATTTCGTGTAATGATAGCTACTTATGAAGGATTTCCTTTTTAAGAGACTGCACATTTTTAATAATGAAATGAAATAAAATGCCTATCCTATCATAGAAAACCA